CATGCTTCATCAAAACAATAACAAAACCGTACAATGCCGATGTATGTAGCGTATCATAATGGACCATGATCCAACATGTCATGACGCATGCAAGGGTGTCCAGGAGACGATACAACTTACCAGACCTGCTAGCCACAATCTTGATGATGTTCTGCTTGCTGGAGTTCAGTGACGCCAGGCCAGCCATTGTGCAACTTGGATTGACCAGTATATCCCTATATAGGTGCATGGCTATGGAAACAATTTGATTTGATTTGTTGGAAGTAGCACTTCTATCTCAGTGACAAATGTTATGATCAATTGCTCCTACTTGGCAGCCATTGCACCACAGGTCACTATTCAATCCAAACCCTTCTCCACTACCCTGGCCAGTGTGCCGCAGATCTGGATCATTTGACCCATCTGCTCAGCCTGCTCCTTGTTCTTCTTCGCCTTCTGGTACTTGTAGCCGCCACGACGACGGTTGGTGTGATCGCGGACCCGGGGCCTGAGCGCAGTTCACACGACATGCCATGACATGTTGTCATAACATGACATGATGTGACATGACGTGACGTAACATGACGTGACATGACATGACGACATGCTAGCTGTTAACATGACAACATCATGTCATGACAGTGAAACAATATTGACAACATTCCTCATTGTCTGACCTGTTGACATGTGTCTATCACATCGTTGGTAACACAGTGCATAATAACATGCTTGACATCAGTGCCATGACATGTCCAAGTATATAAGAGCCAAGTTGCTGCTTCCATTTCACCATGGCCGTGTTCGTCGTGCTTTGGTCAGGGGCTTCGCCCAGCTCATACTCATCATCCTCGTCATATGGCACCACCGCCTCGCATGGCCTGCTGCTGCTGCTGCTTTTGTTGCTGTGTGCAGCTCTAGGCGGTGGCGGCGGTGGCGGCTGCGGCACGACCGCCATGGTCTTGGTGCACCGGGTCCACTGGTGCACCGTCACACCAGGCGGTCCCGGTGGGGGTGGTGGCACCGCAGCCGGGGGCTCTGCCGGCTTCGGCGGTGGTCCAGCAGGTTCTGGTGGCCGCATGCGCCCCCCCATTTGGGGCATCTGCTTTGGGCATGGGGGTGGCTTCATCACACCGTACTTCTGGAAGTACTGCTCTGCAGTGCCACCCCCATGCCCCTCCTCCTCCTCCGATTCCTCCACCTCCACATCTTCCACATCCTGTGGCGGTGAGAGCCCCAGCTCCTTCATTTCCTGATCAGTCATCGGCCGACCAGTCTGTGACATTGTCTCCTCCTCCTCCTCAGAGAAGTGCGGGACGTCCTCTCCCTCGGCAGCATCTCCTGCATGCATCCAAGGTCCAAGAGTGTTGTGCGACTGACCGGAGGGGTGCATGCATGGTTGACACAAAATTCGTGGTATATAGATTGATCACAAACAGAAAACAAACATGCTTGCGCTTATGATTAATTGGTATAATATAGATTGATCGTTGTAGAAAACAACATGTTTTATGGGGTCAACTATATAGGGCCAAGAGTTTTGTAAAACAGTGTGTTTAACTCGCAACAAAAAGGATTTGGACAGCCCAACATGTCCTGCAGAGTTGGCTTCCTTCATGGGCTTCTCTTCCTTCTTCGTCTTCTTCGCATGCACGAATCTCCTCCTCAGGTTCCATCGGCCGCGGTCAGAGCCTCGCCCACGTGGTGGAACAACTCGGCCACGTGGCATGACACGGCCACGGCCATTGCCCCTCCCAGTACCGTGGATTCCCATGGCAATTTAGAGGCAATCTACAGATGGATGTTAATGTCAATCAAAAACACATATATATATATATGCCATGTTCGTTCTTGAGGCATTTCTATTCTGAAGTGTGTCGAACTTGGGCAAGATTATAGTAGAAGTGGTGGGCATTGTCATGTTGGGCATTATATTGAATCATTGGCGACATGATGGTTGTGCATGTGTGCATGCAATCATGCATCCATTAACATGTGCCTGTGCGTGGGTGTGTGCATCGACTGAATGCCGTGCATTTGCACCGTGAATGGCGCATCCGTCTGCAGCAAGAAGGGCCGAAGCGAGTATATAAAGTCATCATTTGATACCTTCCCCAACAGTATCAATGTACCGCACTTATCACCATATACATCATTCTCATCAAAAATATCGTCAACATCATTATCATCGTCAACATCACAACCATCATCAGTATTATCATCCCCATCTCCAAAAAAACGCTGACATTCAGATTGAGGCCATTGGACATGATTAAACCCAAAATATTTGACCATGCCCCATTTGAACCGCCCTGGCAGCAAATCACAGTCCTTCCCACAGCGCTGACGGAGTGGAAGCGTCGAAGATTGTACCTGGCGTCGAAAACTGCATGGTTTCACAAGGAGACATGTCAACACATGCGGTGTTTCATGCCAAACCAAGTAAAGTGCTTTGCAGTATTCATAACCAAACCCATGCGTCAAGATGCGTCATGAGGATGTCTTCATGGCAATGTTCATATGCATGTTTAATGGTCCATGCACGGTTTCGACATGAACCCACCATGAAACCATGTCACAGCCTGCAAGGGGGCTGCAGCATCACCTTTCCAACAGTGGATCTGGACGTGGGACAAGCATTTTTTGTGAACCGATATACGTGTTCCCAGTTTATGCATACACAATGCCCATGCTATACTAATGCCGAATTTTTTGTCCTGGCAGAAAACGACCATGACAAACCCACAACTGTTTTCCATCTGCAAATCGTTCTGGTCAAAACCGTTTGTCCAAAGCTGCCTCCAGTGAGTTTGCTCCACGTCTATAAACCGGCAGGATTGCTTCAACTGCCCCGACATGACGACCAAATTTTGAAAAACGCTACCTGTCTAGACTGGCAGGATTGTTCAACTGCCACTGCATGACATCCATGATCAAAATTGGAAAAACGATCATACCTCAAAACATTCTGCAGTGGGCTTCACATACCATCTTGGTCATCCTCTGACTCATTCACTTGCAAATCTTCATTGGGGTTCCACAGGTTCACCCATGTCATGGTTCCATCATCAAGTGGACGGGTGAAGCGGTTCAAATCCATGAACATGAGCGTGCATCCAAAGGGCATCTTTTCAAAAATGCGGCGACACTTCATGACAACCTTGGATTTCTGCTTCTTGGAGACGACCGGTGCAGGCCGAGGGTCGAAGACCAAATCCTTCAAGAAACTATGAGGATTGACATGCAATACAATGACAAAGAAAAGGATTGACATGCGATACAATGATAAGGATTGACATGCCCTTTGAGACTAAATCCAAGGATTGACCTGCGATACAAATGACAAAGAAAACAAAACACTCTCACATGCTTCATCAAAACAATAGCAAAACCGTACAATGCCGATGTATGTAGCTTATCATAATGGACCATGATCCAACATGTCATGACGCATGCAAGGGTGTCCTGGTTCCGATACAACTTACCAGACCTGCTGGCCACAATCTTGATGATGTTCTGCTTGCTGGAGTTCAGCGCATTGCACACATGCCTTTGCATACCTTCCACGATCGTTGACGCCCTCATGGGCAGCTCGAGATTCAACCCCCAACGAAAGCCAGCAACCTCTCGGCCAGCCATTGTGCTCATGAGGAAATAAATGGATTTCCGGTGCAGTTGCGCCTCCAGTCGCAGCACCTTTGTTACAGCTGATGCACTTTATTATACCATGGTGTGTGCATGTCCAAAAGTGACAAAAAATGGTTTCTATAATATTAGATGATTGTAGATATATATATATACATATAGATATATATAAATATGCATGTATACAGTACATGTATGGATAAAACATGTTGATTGTTGCAAACGCAAGATACGATGCTTGCCTGTGGACTGCGCAAGATGATCAAGTCCCACTGGTTCCTCCGGGTATACCTCAGCTTGGATCCATCCTCTGTTTCCTCCACATACTTGTAGGGAATGCTGGATCCGTTGCTGCTGATGTAGATGACCATGTGGTCGCGCTCTAGGATCCTGCGCACCTGGTGGTTGCCCAGCTTCGCCCAGCCGCGGCCCCCAAGTGGCGGAAGCTCTGTGCGCGCCAACGCAGACCCCAGAGGCATGGTGACGAAGTCATAGACATACGGCACAGGAGCGTCAGCCATGGTCGAAGCTATGTACCCTTTGGATCCCTTGGAACTGTTGTGGATGCGCCTGCGAGCAAAAGCCCTGCAGGAGGCTGACATGCGAGCATAGCCACACATGTCATACAACCGCAAGTTGCAATCCCCGACATGCACAGTCAGTGAGCCATACCACGCAAAACACATCCTGTGTCATATATATTTAAGTAAAAACTGCAACAGCTGTAGTATACAGTAACAACTGTGCTGCCTTCAAGACACATGTCCACTGCGACGGGAGGTTCATGAATGTATTGATGCAACAATATGGCCATGATTCAAACACGCGGGCTCGGCTCGCGTTGTTTCTCCAAGCTGGGCAATGCTCGCTGGTATATGTATTGGCATCAGATCAAGCCATATCACCAACAAAATTGGCTGGACCACACACGGTATATCTGCAGGCTCTATACAATGGGTCAGCCATAGGAGTGATGCAGCATGCCATGGGAATGCCTGGTCATGCGCACTTATGCTGTCTTTCGTTGCCTCTTCAGAGGGCGGGTGGCTGGTTGTAGCGGTTCAGGCTTCTTTGCAGCAGCCATGTCATCCCTCACCAGCACCAGTGGATCACCTGCAGAGACCGCCTGCGTGTTCCTCGCCACAAACATTTTGTTGCCCTTCTTCACCAGTTCCATGTTGGCCCCGTCATCATTTGCACTATCTGTTGTCTTCATCATCCAGAACGGAACTGGGACATTGGGCGGCAGCAGAAAGACACCATGATCTTTCCTTGGCAATCACAGGCGCATTGATTTATTGATACAATTGCAGATGAATGCGGCATGTTGAGCTATAACTCAGCTAGGTGTCCTTACTATAAAACCATCATGCAACCCATGCACCTGCAACACATGCAACCCATGCAAACAATCAAAAAAACATGAAACAACATATTTGCAAGAGTCCCATGAATGAGCCCAAGAAAAGAAAAAAAAACATCCAACATGGTGTTCATGTGAGGTTCCCGTCGATCTTCTCTCCACAAATGCGCAACGCACTTGGTGGAAGCCGATGATCAGTGCACTCATCAACTATCTCCACCCTGGTCGTGATTGGAACAAGTTGCAGTTTGCCCTTGCCAAAGTCACTTGAGGCTGAAACACCCTTTGGCTTCTGAATGAGATCCAAGCCCTTGAGTTGGTCCGGACACTGCTGAACTGTTTCATGGATTCGTTTGATGACATCAGCCCTCATGACCCCCATCTTCAACAGTTCCTTCCATACCTCAGGATCCTTGACAAGTTCTGGTGCTTTTTCTTTTGGTTGATGTTTCCATTTGCCGCCAATCAGGTCATCAACCTTTAGGTCGTAATCCTTCCCGTCATCGCATGTCACAACCACTCTGATGCTTGACATTTCCTTGATCGTGGCTTCCTTGTTGTCAGACTTCCTCACAATTTTGGAGCCAACATCGAAACCAGCATCAAGCACGATGGAGGCCGAAGTCAAGCGACCACCCTCACTGATGTCACGGATCCTGCATGAAACAATGGTAACCACTATATCTAGAAACTGAGCAAAATACATGTGATGCATTGAGGTTATTAGTCAGCATGTAACAGATACATCCACAAGTATACTATTCATGCATGCACGCATTCTAACACATGACAACACAACATTATATATAGACCTAGATTCTAATGGAGTAGGAGTTATACCACCTTAACACCTTTGACATGTTTCCTCAAATTTGATACGGATCATGCATGAATCAAGCATCAACTGGCATTTATAGTCCTGCCCTTTGCCGATGATGGCCGTGAAGTCTGAGAGGCCGATGCCGATGGTGTTGATGCTGCGACATCTGCAGCCCATGGTGACGTGACTGGCTGTTTCACATGTTCATTCCAGCACGTGCCACATTTGTGAGCAGCATGGCGTAGATCTTTGAAGTCAGAAAAGGGCTCATGGGGACCTTTGAATTTCTTTCCCAAAATTGCCATGACACTGTCCACCTCAAACACGCCAAGCCCCTGGGCCAGCATGTGGCCAGACAACTCACTCATAGAGGCACCGAGCTTCCTCAGCTCTTGGTGCGTCCGTTCAAACACCAAGACCTGTTGGAAAATGCTGCCATTGCTGAACGATTTCTTGATGTCTGCAGGAGTCAAACCATTTTCCACGCAGTACATGGTCTTCAGCATGGCGTGCCGCCATAGAACTGCCTGCTCCCCTTGCTTGTTCTTCACGTCAGTGGCGAGGTAGTCCCACGCTTGCACTGGAAGCCTCCTCGAGGAGATGCCATTGCATCTCACAAAGCTTTCAGTGGCCTGCATCAAGTGCCCGGTGGCTCCTCCTCCACATTTCATCATGAAAGAGAACAAGTGAGGAATTGTTTCAGTTCTGGGCGGCTTGCTCCTCAGAAGAATTGGCTTCATCTCCTGGTATGTCATGACATTGCCTGCATTGCATGCCTGCCATGTGCTGGCAATCTTCTTGCAGACTTGCAAGTCTGTCTCACCCTGTGACACTTGTTGAGCACTGTTCGCAGCGCTTGAAGCCAACGATGCGAAGTGCTTCCAGGTGGCTGGCACCAGTGAGGAAATGATCTCCCACTCCACGCCCTGATGAACAGCCTGCCAGCACAAGGAATCTGAGCGCTGCAGGATCTCTGAGCTCAATCGGCCACCGGTGGTCAGCTTCTCACTTGCATGCTCCATTCCATAGAACCACATCCTCATCACTTGATTGGAATGTGACCCAGCTATGGTGGCAAAACGCAACTTGTCCTTGATGGGCGGCAACCTCAACAAAATGGGCCATGCATGGAGATGATGAACATGTGTTGCCATGACATGCACATAGATGATCCCACTCATGAAAATGAACACAATGTAGCAACACATGAATCAATAATCAAAGCAACAGGTTGTTGGACTGCTGGACCAACTTGTCATTGTAGGCACGTGTATCGTCACTGCACCTGTCACCCGTCCCCAGTTCAATGCAGATCCTGCGGGATGCGCTGGGGACGTAGCCAAACTCAAAGAAGTCCAAGCAGAGCTTCTGGACATGATCTGGACTGATGCCTGTCCCGTCCCGGTTGCTTTCATGTACACCAATCCAACGACTGTGGACGGTTGATGACCACATGAGGCCGTGGTCCCGAAGGATGGCATAGATCTTCTCCATGGACTGCAGCAGCGAGCCCTTCTCTGCCTCTTCGAGAAGGCCATCGATCTGCTTCTTCAATCCAGCATCCATGGCCATGTGCACAACACAAACACCTATATCAAGTCAATGAAGGAGTATAGGAGATGCGTGTTTCTTGTTCATATACATCATGATTCATGACTGTAAGATCTATGGAGCATGTTTCATGCGTTTGTGATGACGCAATGTTTCATGCGAGATTGCCAGCTCTTGGATACGCACCTTGAACCCACATGTGCATGAAAAAAAGTTCAACTGCGAGCTCAGCCCGCAGCTGATGAGTGCGAGCATGGCCACGCACTTCCGACACAAGACTCAGAAACGTGTTTCGTTTTTACAAGTTGTAAAGAGGCCATGGCGCATGGTTGAATGTATGCAACATGAAATTGACAGTCTCGAGACATGACATGCAAGCCGTCTGAAAGATACAGAAAAGTCCAGTTGACTGCAACATCGATCATGTTCCCATGCAGTCATCACGCCTGCATCTGCATTGCAGTGCTATCATCTTGGACCTCAGGATTGCGGTGCAAGGGCAACTGGCACAAAAACAAAAAATCGTTTCAACAAACATGTATATCTATGAATGAAATCGTAACATGTTGTTTCTCAAAAAAATCAGCGCAATCATGCAACACTGTTCACTTTCTGTGGCAATGTGAGGGCAATGAAAATGTCAATTCTTGCAACATCATCAAACATCTGAGATCCCGCACATGCAAATCACGACATTCAACACAAGATCTGCTAGCCATACATGTCACCTTTTCAAGTTTATCAGTGCGAACACCTCAACCCAAAAAAAATAAATTTGATTTCTCAAAAACAATGTTTGCAAATGAAATTGTTTCGTTTACGATATCAAGCATCTCAAAATCACCAACATGTGGCTTCGTTTTTGTGATCACTTGTTAAAGACATCCGGCGCGAAAAAAAATCAAACCATTTCAGATATACCAGTGTTGTTTCCACCCAAATTTGACAAACACACTTTTGACAAACAACGCCTTCGCAAAAAATACAAAACATATATTTTGTTCCTTCCGTTTTTACAAACAACAACCAAAAAAAAACATACGCATGTTGTAAAACATGGTTGCACCTGTTTGTTTTTTGCAAGTTTTCCACTTGCTATAAGTGGACTAAGTGGGCTAAGTGGGCTGCAATTCTAAGTGAGCTAAGTCCACTTAGCCCACTTAAAACTAACTAACGTAAGTGACTTACCCCACTTATACTTAAGTAGCTTAAGTTCGCTAAGTTACTTAACCTAAGTGGAGTGCTAAAAATAGTTTTGACTTACTAAGTAGAGTAAGTACATATGCTACATAGTATGTAGTTAATAAAAAATCTAAGTACTTAGCTAAGTGGACTACATACAACTACATACTTAGCAAACATAATGTACTTAAAAATGCTACTTAGGGTACTTATAAGTAAGGTTAGGGTAGATACTAAGTACTTACTAAGTACTTACTATATGCTTTATATAGGCTAAGTACTTACTAACCAGCCTGACCCTCCAAGTGCGGAGCTGGGCGGACTTTTGGAGGGTTTGGAGGGTTTGAAGCCTGGCAAACGGCAGACTTGAACGCCTATAAGAAGCCATTGCTGCGGCCGGGGGGTGCCCTTGAGCCATTGCTGTGGCCTTGTGGTGGCTGTTGCCTGCGGGCGTGGCGCGTGTTGAGCTTGTTGGGGTACCTTTTGCCTGCGGAGTTGGGCGGACTTGTGGAGGATTTGGAGGGTTTGGAGCGTTTGAGGCCTGGCAAACGGCAGCCTTAAATGTCATAAGCAGCCATTGCTGCGACCGTGGGGTGCCCTTGAGCCATTGCTGCGGCCGGGGGGTGCCCTTCAGCCATTGCTGTGGCCTTGTGGTGGCTTTTGCGTGCGGGAGTGGCGCGTGTTGGGCTTGTTGGGGTATACCTTTTCCCTGCGGAGCTGGGCGGACTTTTGGAGCGTTTGGAGCGTTTGGAGGGTTTGAGGCCTGGCAAACGGCAGCCTTGAACGCCTATAAGAAGCCATTGCTGCGGCCGGGGGGTGCCCTTCAGCCATTGCTGTGGCCTTGTGGTGGCTTGTGCGTGCCGGAGTGGCGCGTGTTGGGTTTGTTGGGGTACCTTGTCCCTGCGGAGCTGGGCGGACTTTTGGAGGGTTTGGAGCGTTTGAGGCCTGGCAAACGGCAGCCTTGAACGCCTATAAGAGGCCCTTATAGCCAGTGCTGCGGCCGGGGGGTGCCCTTCAGCCATTGCTGTGGCCTTGTGGTGGCTTTTGCGTGCGGGAGTGGCGCGTGTTGGGATTGTTGGGGTACCTTTTCCCTGCGGAGCTGGGCGGACTTTTGGAGGGTTTAGAGGGTTTGAGGCCTGGCAAACGGCAGACTTGAACGCCTATAAGAAGCCATTGCTGCGGCCGGGGGGTGCCCTTGAGCCATTGCTGTGGCCTTGTGGTGGCTGTTGCCTGCGGGCGTGGCGCGTGTTGGGCTTGTTGGGGTACCTTTTCCCTGCGGAGCTGGGCGGACTTTTGGAGCGTTTGGAGGGTTTGAGGCCTGGCAAACGGCAGCCTTGAACGCCTATCAGAGGCCCTTATAGCCAGCCAGTGCTGCGGCCGGGGGGTGCCCTTCAGCCATTGCTGTGGCCTTGTGGTGGCTTGTGCGTGCGGGAGTGGCGCGCGTTGGGCTTGTTGGGGTACCTTGTCCCTGCGGAGCTGGGCGGACTTTTGGAGGGTTTGCATGGCGCGTTTGAGGCCTGGCAAACGGCAGCCTTGAACGCCTATAAGAGGCCCTTATAGCCAGTGCTGCGGCCGGGGGGTGCCCTTCAGCCATTGCTGTGGCCTTGTGGTGGCTTTTGCGTGCGGGAGTGGCGCGTGTTGGGATTGTTGGGGTACCTTTTCCCTGCGGAGCTGGGCGGACTTTTGGAGGGTTTGGAGGGTTTTGAGGCCTGGCAAACGGCAGACTTGAACGCCTATAAGAAGCCATTGCTGCGGCCGGGGGGTGCCCTTGAGCCATTGCTGTGGCCTTGTGGTGGCTGTTGCCTGCGGGCGTGGCGCGTGTTGAGCTTGTGGGGGTACCTTTTGCCTGCGGAGTTGGGCGGACTTGTGGAGGATTTGGAGGGTTTGGAGCGTTTGAGGCCTGGCAAACGGCAGCCTTAAATGCCTATAAGCAGCCATTGCTGCGACCGTGGGGTGCCCTTGAGCCATTGCTGCGGCCGGGGGGTGCCCTTCAGCCATTGCTGTGGCCTTGTGGTGGCTTTTGCGTGCGGGAGTGGCGCGTGTTGGGCTTGTTGGGGTACATTTTCCCTGCGGAGCTGGGCGGACTTTTGGAGCGTTTGGAGGGTTTGAGGCCTGGCAAACGGCAGCCTTGAACGCCTATAAAGCCATTGCTGCGGCCGGGGGGTGCCCTTGAGCCATTGCTGTGGCCTTGTGGTGGCTTTTGCCTGCGGGCGTGGCGCGTGTTGAGCTTGTTGGGGTACCTTTTGTTTGCGGAGTTGGGCGGACTTTTGGAGGGTTTGGAGGGTTTCAGGCCTGGCAAACGGCAGCCTTGAACGCCTATAAAAGAAGCCATTGCTGCGGCCGTGGGGTGCCCTTCAGCCATTGCTGTGGCCTTGTGGTGGCTTTTGCGTGCGGGAGTGGCGCGTGTTGGGCTTGTTGGAGTACCTTTTCCCTGCGGAGCTGGGCGGACTTTTGGAGGGTTTGGAGGGTTTGAGGCCTGGCAAACGGCAGCCTTGAACGCCTATAAGAAGCCATTGCTGCGGCCGGGGGGTGCCCTTGAGCCATTGCTGTGGCCTTGTGGTGGCTGTTGCCTGCGGGCGTGGCGCGTGTTGAGCTTGTTGGGGTACCTTTTGCCTGCGGAGTTGGGCGGACTTGTGGAGGATTTGGAGGGTTTGGAGCGTTTGAGGCCTGGCAAACGGCAGCCTTAAACGCCTATAAGCAGCCATTGCTGCGGCCGGGGGGTGCCCTTGAGCCATTGCTGTGGCCTTGTGGTGGCTTTTGCCTGCGGGCGTGGCGCGTGTTGGGCTTGTTGGGGTACCTTTTCCCTGCGGAGTTGGGCAAACTTTTGGAGGAGTTGGAAAGTTTGGAGGGTTTGAGGCCTGGCAAACGGCAGCCTTGAACGCCTATAAAAGAAGCCATTGCTGCGGCCGTGGGGTGCTCTTGAGCCATTGCTGTGGCCTTGTGGTGGCTTTTGCCTGCAGCGTTGGGCGTGGCAAGGGTTCAAGAAAGACAGGATCCACACCTCCGGTGGTCCCAGGCGCCGCCCCGGCCTTGGCGAAGGCCGGGGTCGGCGGATTTTCCAATCGTTCCACATTCTTTTCCCCACCTTCTGCGTCAGGATCCAACTGCCGCCGGGTCCAGTGACGCTAACCTTCCGCGCCACGGGGCTTGGTGTTGGTGTTTCGACCGGCGAGCCGGGCGCATGTTTGACGTTGCGGCTGGATTTGGAAATCAGTTCCCACAAGGCGAGGATGGGAAGATCCTGGGAAGATTGGAGAATGTTGGTTTTTTATAGGGACTCAACCACATACTGTAGTTGGTACAACTGGAGTTTTTGAACACAAAAAAACATGAGTCGAGGATTTTTTTCGTGATGATGTTTGGGACTAGTTTCCTGTGTTGGAAATTATCATCCAATAACGGAATCCCTATCGACCACAGCTTGTTCTGCGAGTAGGATGGTATAACCGACAGTCGGTGCGTGCAAGACACCCGAGCCTTGGGTGATGTTTTTTTGGTGCTATCCTTTGAATGTAGCGGAATTGATGGGGGCAAGTGTATGTAAGTCTGTAAGTATACATAGAAAGACTTTGCTATGAGATTTTTTATACATTAATTGAATCGGATAACAGAACAATGATATGCGGTATTCTTTGATTTACAATGGGGTATATTGTGCCCTCACGATATATTTTATTTGTGGACAGATTCAATCATTGGGGGTTCCTAAAATTGAGGGTTTTCAATTCATCCAAAATCATCCAAATTTGGTCGTTCTTCTTAATGGGGAAACCGTTCTGCTCAAGAGGGGAGTAGACTTGTACCCTACCAAAAGTGTGGGAATTTGATTCGGGAAACTATGAAATCTTGTGTCTCAATCATTAATGTAGGCTCTCCGCCACAAACCATGCCCAATCATCAACCAACTTCACAGGACAGAAATTGGGGATGTATCCGTAGGTTTTGTACAAGTAGAGCCACTCATCGGTGTATGATACCCCAAATATGTAATGTATTGTAATGTCAGAACCTTTAGTTGGTGTATACATGTAAAAGATATCAACAATTTAGGTTTGGGTCTGACATCTGTTTGGGATCCTTTGTCTGACCAATGAATCCTTGTGACAAAATATCCAATGGCTTTTGATGCAGCTCTTTGTTTTGCCAGGGAAATACTCCATGGTTATGGGTCAAACCTAAAAAACCTGGAACATGGGTACTGCAGCTGTTCACACCCCCAAATGGTGTATTTTACTCTATCTTTTGGATGTTCACTACCAGACTTCGATAAAGGTCGATAAACAGGCCAATTTACAGTCTCTCTCAGATTCACTTTTATGGACCCAACAAACCACAGTTTTGAGCCCTCGCAGCCAACCATCATGCCACCAGCATCAGATCCCCCTCCACTGCCAGTACCCATTTCTGGAATTATCCCATTTGTAAGTGAGGAAACTATTTTTTCTTAGTAACCAGTTATTATCTTGGCACATATCCCATTCATCCCCACAATCACCATTATAAATCAGTTAGTCCAAGTGCGAATAACTACATTAACCAACCAGTTACTGGATTATCATTCATTATTATGATTATGAATTATCATTTATTACCATCAACCATTTATTAATCATTATATAATCATTTATCCATGATTCCCACTTATTATCCATTCATTAACCATTGACTAGCATATACTATCGTTCGAAATTCTTCATGGATGAATGGACGAACCAAAGAACCCACCAGGATTATTCATCCGCCAAGGATCCCAAGGATCCAGGGATTATTAATGAAGCACTTAAATATTACAATGTGCAACAACAATGCCATGTCTACCACCCATGACCAGGAACGTTTTTTTTTTTAAATACCACCTAGAAATTCATGGTGATGACTGGGGGATGGTGAAGTGACAGCCAGTGAAATACCCATATGATTTTTAGCCCACCATTTAGAAAAACCCTCCATGGCTCCATTGCGAGGCCAGTGAGTCCGCTCGCATGTGCTTCCAAAGCGCCTTGCCCGCGGCGGCGCCACCGTTGCTGTCCGTCTCCGGGAGCGGGAGGGGTGAGTTGGTGGAGAGGGGATGGGTTTGACATGCCCAACTGTTGATGATTACCCTCTGGTAAACTAACATAGCTATGGAAAATGACCATTTATAATTGATTTACCATTAAACAATGTGATTTTCCATAGTTATGTTGGTTTACCAGAGGGTAAATGGGGATTGTGGTACCTATACTCTGTAGCTGTTGTATAGAAAGACGGATCAAACAAGTGGAGAGACTCGAAGGAAGGCGTGTTGGAATGGGTCAACGACCTAAAAGAACAAGGATGTTTCAACGAAATAATCGAATCATACTCATACTGGAAAAAACATCTTGGAAGTAAGCACTGTACTCCCAACCATCAAATTGGGGAGATAGCCAATTAAGATTTCGAGACCAATGGAAACCAATCGCCCTGTCATTTACATTTGATATTGAAGAAACAAAACTTACCATTTGCTGGAACGATATTCAAACGTAGGAGTCAAAGGTCAGGGATCAAGGTTGATATCCTGACACCCAGGCAGGACACAAATATGATATGCTTGGAGCAAATATGTTTGGGGTGAGAACATTGAATACCCAATACCCTCTGGTTATTTAACATAGCCATGGTATAGATGGCCCATAGAAACAGATGGTTTACCTATTAATAGCATGCTGGATCTTTCCAGGGCTATGTCAGTCACAACCGGATGGTAACTTTTCATGTAAAAAATGCGCAGATGCCAAAAAATGATGGAAGTTGAGGTGTCTTAAGGAGCTGGACAAAAAGGGTACCCCAAAGTCCAGTACGGAAAAACATCGCTTTCCCATTGTATAAAGAATACCCTCTGGTAAACGTTTACATAGCTATTGAAAATGGCCATTTATAGTGGATTTTCCCATTAAAAATGGTGATTTTCCATAGCTATGTTAGTTTACCAGAGGGTATCATGCTTGGGGTTTGGACACTATATCATATCCAGAAAATATCCACTTAGCATTGTTGGTACGATACCTCCTTGATATCAGTTCATCCCCTATTCACAATTATTCACACATGTTTTCCCTTATAAAACCCAAATCATCTCCATATTGTGGGTTGATATCCCATAAATCAGTCCATTATATGCCATTGCATGTCAATTTCTGGTGGTTAAGATTTGAATCCGCATGAACTGCTTAGTGAAGGCCTCGTTTTCATCTAGAAGAATTGCCATAAGTAGGGTAACATACACAATTGATCCCATAAATATCCAGATCTTATTCCCATATTGTTGCATCCTTATTAAATAATCTACCCTAGATGTGGAAAATCCACCCTTTGTAGATATCTTCCTAGGGAAACCATTGGTTTTGCACATCCATATTAGTTTACCCTAGGGTACATCCTTTTTTTGAGTCCCCATTAAAGAAACCCACAGGTATTGAAGCCAGAAACACAGCTTTCCAGGAGCGGTGATGCCTCGGCCCCCTGGCCTGACGGGCTTGAGTTGACGCTGTGACGCTAGAGATGATCCCTTTGTTCCGCAAGAGATCAGTAGAAGGGGATCTCAGCATGGAAAAAGCATGATGATCATGGCATCTTGATGGTTAGTACCATCATGATCATGGGGAACCACAACAGATGGAGTTAGCCATCAGATGGAGTTAACCACGATCATAGATCATTTACTACATTTCTTTTGAAATTGTTTTATTAACTATAGTTAGATAGATTATTTAATACATTTCTAGATCATTTACTATAGTTAGTTAACCACTATCAGATCATTTATTTATATAATATGTTAACTTAATTAAATCAGTTACTAGAAATTTACTATAGTTAAGTTTACATCCATATACCAAATATACATGGATATATATATATATATATGTATAATCTTATATATGTAATTATATATATAGATATAAATAAATACATAAATAAATAAGAACTATTTTTAATCAAACACATATTCTGTGACCATCCCCAAAATGACGACCTTTTCCAGGAGGGACTTGGGGCTTTTTTTCTTCGGGTCGAGCTGGTAGATGATTCCTTTTTTTCCATTTTTGGTGTCATATAACATAAATATATCTAATATAAATAGATGTATAATGATCCATGTTCCATATATATATATATAACATAAATAGATATATAATTGTGTTCCATCCCATTATACAAACATATTATGGGATATATATATATATCCCATATTTATTTTTTTCTCATCCCATGTTCCATTTTTGGTGTCTCACTTTTTTCGTCGCTCCTGTGGTGAATTTCGCACGCCCTGAGATCCCGGTGACGACCTTCTCCTCGCCGGCCTGGAGAGCCCAGTGGTTCGTTGAACCGAAGCGAGAGCCGGTCGTTCCAACGATGGGAAAACCATGGGAAAACCATGGGAAAACCATGGGAAAACCATGGGAAAGCGGTGATTTATATGGAAAAACCATGGGAAAACGATGGAAAACCATGGGAAAACGATTTATATGGAAAGATCCACCATTTTTCGACTGGGTAGTCATCAACTATTTCGACGCCATTTTCAATAGCAAACTGTAAATGTTTACCAGAGGGTATGTGTAGAAACATTTCGTGAAACACATATCGTATCCTGCAGTTCTTTTTTTGGCACACTCCGCCAACTCAACAAAAGTGATCAAACCCAAACTGGCTTGATTGGGTGGCCAGACAGATACATATATACATATATATATATATGCAAGCCGGAAAGCGCTCAAGTGCCCGCGGTTCTTTTCCACGAATGGGACAAAAGGGGGTGCTTGAACCCAGACATCCGAATGGGATAATGAGGAATGGATGTGGTATTCACATTTGGTACAAATTGCACGGCACAAAAGTTCTAAACTTCCTGAAGCTGGTCTTCAGCTTGTTGAGTTTCCAAAGCTCCCAATCCTAGACTCTTTCTCTTCTTGCCTGACATCAGGGATTGATCGTAGATGATACGCCACCTACCATTTCGGGCTTGAAAGAGCATGACTTGTTGGGGCTCATCTTGATGGTCAAACTGTTACTCAGTTGAGAATCCCATTAACCCATCTAATTGAGGTCTCATTGAAAAACATTGACTCTTTAAGGCAAAGTGACTCGATGTCGGAACGTTTCTCTGCACCCTTCAACGTCAACATAGTTTGTGAAAGCCTATCGAAGAGGTTCTTGCTGTCGGAGATCAGCACACCTGCTGTGTGGTTCACTGTTTCATCAGGCTGCCATGGATTTGCTGCGAATCCACGGAACTCACTGAGTTGAAAACGAAGAGCGTACATTTGATCTTCACCATCCACTGCTGCTCTCGTCTCTGCTGAAGCACTTGACCGGCAAACTCGGGTGATCTTTGATGAACACCAGAACAGAGGATTCACTACTTCTAAGTGACCATCCAGTAACTTTGATGATGTGCATCCAATCAGTATTCCCTTTGTGCTACTTAGATCAGTCCTATTTGCATGTGCGGCATCTACCCACGCTGCTATCAGAAGATCTTGAGGATCAAGGCAATGAATCAGCATGGCCTGCTTGCTTCGACTCTTTGCTTTCTTCACGATTTTGTTCACTTCAATCACGTCTTCCACGGTGGCACTATTGATCTTGGAGAGGAGAAGGCTCACTGGAGCGCTAAGCTCCATGGCCAGTTGTCCCGCATGCCAAGAGAGACACCCAAGCACGCTACGCATTTGCTTCTTCTCATCCTGCGTGGAGGGAAGATCTTTGTCCTTGAAGCGCTGCTTGCTCAGATGTATTTCTGAAACTTGGTCCAGGAAGCTTGGCTGTGAAAGAGTGAAGCTATAGTCGGAATTTTGAGCAATGTCCACACCACATTGTGTGAACTGCTTTGATTCCCACTGTCCCCACTGAAAACGCTCTTTGATCTTTGCCTTGATTTGATGCCATCTGGGATCTGATTCCCGACCTCCAAAAAGAAAATCGTCAACATGTCCGCAGATGTATGCGATTGGCTCGTTGTCCTTGTCAAACAAGCTCCACGCACAAGGGTCAGATTTTTGGCGTTCAAAACCTAGGGATCTCAGGAATTCATCTACTGTGAGATACCATTCCAGTGGCGCCTGCACTAGGCCATATGCTGCCTTAGTTAGGCGAGTGATGCTGCCTTCAGGCAAACCCAGTGCTGCACAAATCTCTTTGAGAGGTTGAACATAGATGTTGTCCTTGCAGTCTCGTCCTTGGAGAAATGCTCCTGAGACGTCACCCTTTTCCACCAGAAACTTTTTGGCTGCACACATAGTGAGGAAGAGCTGTCTTGTAGCTCTGGTCATGGTAGGACTCGCGGTAGGTCTTGTTTCATAAAGAGGGTCCTGATACCCAAGGATCACTGCTCTTGCTTTTGCCTTGCGAGCCTCTGTCTCTGGATCTACTTTCCAGGTCAGGACCCAGCGCATTTTCAGAACTTGATCGGCATCAGGTCTTTGCTCCAAAGGAACTTTGGCAAACACTTTTGCTAGGATGTAGTTCTTGATCTCCTTCTGTTTGGCACCTTCAAATTGTTCTAGTTCTTCTTTGGAAAGTCTTCTTTCGGAGACTTCCACATGATTTTTCTTCACCTGGTTGAGGACAAAGGTGTCAAAATCTCGTATCCAAAAACCTTTCTTGGCGGTCTTTGGTGGAGGCAAGTCTATTGCGACTTCTAAACATCCCATTGAGTCCTCCAGATGTTTTGACGGTTCAGGAGCCACCATGGCCAACAAACTGTGGTCCTCCGGAGGTGGCTCTTGATGTGCTCTGGATCGCAATTGCTTTGAAGGCCGAGCAATCTCAGCTGATGGTCGGCTTCGGCGAACTGCTGGCTGTCGTTCAGAAGATTCCAGTTTTGGAGCTTCTGCCATATCCCAGTCAACGTCCTCAGTCTCTGTGGGCGTTTCTGCAGTGATGTCTTCAAAGGTCTTCCTCTGTGAGTGCTCAAGAATGCTGGAGGTGGTCCATGGGATCACCTGATTCTCTTGGAGCTCACACCAGGCTTCTTCTCTATCACTGGCTCTTCTGAGTTGCTGAGGAGCTGCACGAATTAGGCGACTACCACGAAAAATCCAGACTATGTTTCCAGGACTCAGGTTTCCTGAGGAATCCTTTTTGGTCTCTGTGGCTAACACTCGAGCCGGTCCTAAGAAAGCTCCGGAACGAAAAGTTTGTGTTCCTTGTTCTTTGTCTTTTCCGGTAAGTTGTTTTCTCCAATAGAACACTAAGTCACCTGGCTTGAACAATTCAACCTTGCGAGATCCAGAGTGGCTGGCACGCTGAAGTTTCTGCTTATATTGTTGTTCAATAAAGGCTTCTTCGGCTCTTTTCATGCTTTCTTCGTCTCTACCGAATTCGGCCGAAATCCCATTTTCCGTCAGCACAGGGAGAGGACCCTGTTCGGATTCAAACAGCTTTCCATCATCGCTGGGATTACGACCCAACACATGTTGTAAAGGGGAGAACCCAAGGTACTGGTCTCTGGTATTTTGTGCCCACAAAACCCTGGCAAACATTTCATGAACCCTCATGGTCGGAAATTCTTCAAAAAGGGAACCCAACATGTTTTTGGTGGTTTGAATCGAACGTTCGATTAAGGGAATTTGCCAATGAGCTTCGGCCGCAATATGGTCAACCATGATCCCCCGGGAGGAAAAATAGTCATCCAACATATTACTACGAAAAGCACCTGCAGGATCCAATCGAATAACATCCGGATTACCAAAAAGGGGTCTCCAATGGTCTTCGAAGAAGTTGATGAAGTCTTGACCAGAAACACTTTGGTGTTTTCCTTCCCCAACAAGTTTCCCCACTCTTAACCTAGAACCCTCATCAATAGCCAAAATGAAAAACCAGGATTTCTTGGTTTCGGGGTGGTACCACATTCCCACATCGGCTTGAAGTCTGCTCCATTTTGGGGGAATATCTTCCAAGCTCGCTTGAGGTCTAGGTTTGGGATGGACATTTTCTTGACACACAGAGCACTTAAAAGTCCTTGCCACCTGAATCACCTTTGGGTCTGCGTTTCGTTTCAGGAGTGCACTTACCAGGTACTGCCGACTGCAGTGCCCGGTAGCTGAGTGAATTTTCCGAAGTCTGGACATGATCTCTTCATATTCCTTGTCAGTGATTTCCATGTGTTCTACTCCCTTGGTGGCTGGCATGGCATGTGACATGTTCTCCTCCCCAAAATCTGGTAACCTACTAGTAGAACCGTTCATGGGGTTGTTGGCTCCCTCCTCTTTGGGGTCTCCTTCCTGATCCTTCTCGTCATGGATAACATGTACTTGATCCCTAGCCACTAAATTCACTCCACGTGTGTCACAGCCATCAGTGAGTTCATTTGCCACTTGGTCCCATCTATTTCCCACGCTCAAATGGCTGATCACTCTTTTTGCAAATTCGGGCGTGTAAAACGCGGTCTGGCGACAGACTTTCTGTCCTTCGCACTTGCCGTGAGGATGATCGTTGGAGCAGCGCAAAGAGAGGTGTCGGATGAGTTCTTCATTGTTTCCAAGCATTTTCCAACCCTTACCAAGCAACATCCCCTCTTGATCACGCAAACCAACTTGACATCCCTTACATATGCCCATGTACGTTTGCAACTGTTTTTGAAACTCATGAAAGACTTTCAAATTCCACGCTTCACACCGTTCAGACAATTCAATAACAAAAACACCTCCATGATTATGAACAAAACGAGCAATTTCCAGGGCACCCTCATACTGTTTTTGAGCATGGTTTCGTTTGTCTTCCAAGTTTTTCCTTTGTTGTTCAGTCTTCTGGTTCAGGCGCTGCATAGGAGAGTAAGGACCACATTCGGGGGATATCCAAGTGACTTGGGGTTTCTTTTCCCGAATTAACTGTTTGATGTATTCCCTACCTTTGGTGGTTTCAATATCCCCCCCATTCCAGTGCGCCACCCGGAAAGCTGAATTGGAACCAAATCGATCATGACAAACCCTGGTCATTTCGCTCTCGGGGGAACAACAAACTTCCAACAGTCTACATCGATCATGATTAACCAACATGGACCAGTCTTCTTCAAATTCTTTGGTGGCTTGAGTGACGAGAAATTGTCTAGTTTTGTCCCCCAATGGCCTCTCAGTCATACTCACTGGGAAGAAGCGCCGGTCTTGCGGTTCTTGAGCTCCTGCGCATCCGAGTCGACCTTCATCTTGGGATCCTTGCGCGCCAGAGCTTGCTGACGTCGGATCTCTCGGATCTGCTCCTCTAGGGCTTCCACCTTCTTCTCCGTCTTGTGCTCGTCCTCGGAGGACCATGTGTCCTTCAGTTCCGGACTGCTCATCAGGGAGAAGGATCCCTCGGTGTTCTCGTAAGACTTGTAGCCTGAAGAGAGGCCCGAACCCACGAGGTGCGCAGGCTGTCGGATCTTGTTCTGCTCGAAGCGTTCCTGCAGCTGCTTGGCCATGGTCTCTGACATGTAGATGGTGCCCACCTCCTGTTGGCTGATCCACAGTAGGAAGCGCTTCATGCGCCAATTGACATCCTCTTCGGAGGCTGTCGTGAGGCACCATTGGGCATACTGTGGAAACTTCTTGAGGACGTTCTCGTAGGTCTCCTCCGCATGGACGCCGAAACCCATCACGTCCAGTGGAGTTGGAGGCAAGCCCTCCTGGATTGCCTGTTGTCCCAGGGCGAGCAGCTTGGGAATGGTCTCGTTGCCGGTGATCTGCTTCTTCAGGACATGTTGCAGGTGGTACTGCAAATCGCTTTTCTTCTTGGCTGCCTTGTTGAGAGCCACCACCATCATCTTGTAAGTCTCCTCGAGGCTCATGCCCTTTTCGGCCTTGAGCTCTGCCAACCGTGCTGTCAGCTGTTGCTTGTTCCAGGATCCCGGAGGCGTCTCCCCGAAGCCCTTGATCGCCTCGGTCAAATTCTCCTTGGTCATGGAGGGCATCGCCGCCAACAGCTGGTTCGGTGGGCTCTTCACGGGCTTGAGTGCTGTGAGAAGCTGAAAATCCGATCTCACCTGACAACCCTTGTTGCTTGGGAGATGGTGACGAAAAATTTGAATAACCCTGATTACCCTGATTAGTTATTCTAGTATTTTCCAAAATTGGGACTCCCTTTGGTTGCTCACAAGTTCCGGTCATGATAAGGGGCTGATCACCTTTGACTTCCTCCCTGTGTCCATGAACAACCTGAACGCATGATCTACCATGTGGCATGTGATTGGGAACTTTGGGACAGTTCTGACTCCTACTGAGTTGTTCTGTTTCCTCAAAACTACGATCCTTCCAGAGATGTGAGGAATCTCCATTTTTCCCTGGAAGGTGCTGTCCCTATTCAGAGCTAGAATCAAAAAGTGAAACAAAGGACGTGTGCCTTTGCTTGCTGTTCTGAAAAATATCTTGTGTCAGAGGAAAAACCTGGTGCCCACTGGTGGCACGTTCCAGCTGAATCACTCGGGAGGCATCAATGTGCTTCAGAATGCAGGTGTCATCGGAGAAATCAATGACTGCACCCAGCGAACGAAGAGCTGCGATGCTCAGAAGAACTGGCTGCTGAGGAATGTCATGAACATGGATCTTCATTTTTCCGGTTTTCTCGGCCAAGGGAACCTCCAGCTGGGCCGTACTCAGGCACTGCGTCTTGCCATTGTTGCCAAAACGGAAGCTAGGGCTACTATTGAAATCCAGTGTCACATCCCTCTTCTTTCCCAGTTCCTGGTTGATTCGCTGCACTTGATCCAAAGCATCAGCTGAACCCACCGATGCTGTCGCTCCCCCATCAATGATGGCTTTGCCAGCATTCACAAGGGAGTGAAGGCTGAACGCATCTTGGGTAGGCACCTCAGGCTTGTTCTCCATAGCCTCTGGCTCTGTCACAAAAGTGAAATGAACTTCCTGCCCGACATTGGCGCTGGCAGGTTTGGAGTTCTTGTCCTTCTGAGGACAGTTGGCGGTGGTGTGATTTCCACCACAACGGAAACATTTGGGCTCATGATCACTTTTCCATTTCACATTTGTCTCACGCCTGGCTGGATAGAACTGGCGGCTTTTTCTCATGAAGGTCTGTCGTTCTCGAGCTTCTTTGAGAGTCCTCCGATGGTGCTGGATAGCTTGATGTGCTGACTCGATCTCACGGGTGAGGTGGATGTACTCTTGACGAGCTTCCTCCTCCAGATCTTCAGGAACTTCGTCTAGTTCTTCATCATGAAGTAGTATGTCCTCATGATCATCAACAAGCAAGGCTGATCCTCGAGATTGGTCTCTGCGTTTGAGATCATCCTCAGGCCAGTTGAGACGAAGTGCCTCAGTCACTCTGGAGGTGGTGAACTCGTTCTTCAAGCTTGAGATAATGGTGGCACGCTCAGCCCCATCTAAGTTTGACCTTTGCAGCAACATCCAAGCTACCACGAAGTCTGGCAGAAACTTGTCAGCCTCAGCAGAAGCTTGGGAGGAGACACCGTACTTCAAGGATGGCGTCTCGTTGGGCTGACGCCACTGATGTCGCGACCAGCTGTCATCACGATCTCGGTCCCATTGCCACCATTGCTGCTGACTCCACCATGGATTCTGCCATGACTCTTGCGGGGCTGCTGGAGTTGATTCATGATCTTCCCAGTCAGCTCCTTCACCTTCATCATCACGCATGCGACCATTGTCATCAAAGGGACTATCGCCACGGACTGGAGAGAAGTCATCTCGACGACTTCCTTGCCATGACGCTGCCATTGATGATGTCGCCACCTTCTTGAGGGAGGCCCTGACAGAGGATGATTCTCCCACTGAATGCACCGGTGCATATTCTTGAATCGCTTCTGCCAGGGTACGGCGAGCCTCGTAGAGTGCTTCATCATGCCGCACTATCCAAGCATTCATCGATTCCCCACGACGCCTTTTGACTTGGTAGAAAAACTTGCTGATTGTTTTTCCAGCTTCGGCCAATGTTGGCGCTTGAACTCTTGACTTGAGGAAATCGAGAAGTTGGGCAGCACCCCCTTCATGGCTGATCCATCCCGGAGGTTTGTGCTGCACAGCAATCCGTGCAGACCCCTCCAGTGCAGCCTGTAAACGTGGGCCAGCTAATGGCCGCTTCTTCCACTCCAGCGTCTCCACATAGTTCAATGCTGCACGACGAAATGGAATGTAGAGCTCTGCACTTCCATCATAGATTGGAATCCCATCCTTTGTGAACCGCAGTTCTGTCATCTTGCCTCAACAGGCCAAAACACTAGTTCCAACGGCAAGGTCGTGAACTGGTAAAAGGCCCTTTTGTCGGATCTGCCCCTCCCTCACTCTTGAGGTATGGGGCTCCGCTACCATGCAAGCCGGAAAGCGCTCAAGTGCCCGCGGTTCTTTTCCACGAATGGGACAAAAGGGGGTGCTTGAACCCAGACATCCGAATGGGATAATGAGGAATGGATGTGGTATTCACATTTGGTACAAATTGCATATATATATATAATCTATATCTATCAGATAGATCGACAGATGCTTTTTTTTTGGTCGGTGGATGAAACCAAGAGGTGAATCCCGGGGAACGGAAATGGCTAATATCTAAGCCATATATAGCACCCACCAAAAAAAAGAGAGAACCGATGAAACGGATTTTACGATCTTCTATCTTGTCGGGGTTTATATATACAGTATATATATATATATATATGTATGTATATGCTAATCAACCCACATATGCAGCTGATATACCTAATCGCTGATATCTAAGGTTTCAAACGCACTTTCAGAAACCAACAGCTAATTAGACATAGTAACTAATGATTAATAACTAATCTTCAATAACTATATGGTGGTGGTTTGGAACATTTTGTATTTTTCCATATATTGGGAATGTCATACTCCCATTTGACGAACTCATATTTTTCAGAGGGGTAGGTCAACCACCAACCAGCCATGTTATATATATATAATCCCATCATATAACCATATTCATAATCACTATGATTGGTATTATAACCACTATTATTAGTATAACTTGGGGCAATATCCTATTCTAACTATGGGGCATTCCGAAAGCCCCGTTTCCGAGGCACCCAATGGGGTGATCTGGAAAGCAGCGCTACCGGCGGCGCAAGCCAACAACTTTAACAGGTGGGGCCAAACGCGATGTGAGAGCTGGATGGCCACGATTTATGGAGGGAGATTTGCCAGAGGGCCACAAAAAATATATGGAGATATAGATATGTAGATATAGATAAGATTCTTCTATATCTATATCTGATATCTGATATCTATATCTATATCTATTTCTATATCTATATCTATATCTATATCTATATACATATAGAGAACCCCCGGTACCTAGATTTTCTGCCCTTTTATTGGTATTTGCGTGGCTTTATATGTGGCTCGAGGTTTAAAATTGTCGAGTGATCAGCTGGCAAGAAAGATGTCAGGGATGCTGATGGATATCTGCGGCCAGTGGCGACCTTATTGAGCTCCATGTACCCTCTGGTAAACGTTAACATACCCTCTGGTAATTTAACATAGCCATAGAAAATGGTCCACTTATAGATGGTTTACCTATCAAACATGGTGATTTTCCATGGCTATGTTAAATAACCAGATGGTAACTATGGAAATCACCATGCTATTAATAGGTAAATCAACAAACTAAATGGTGTATTTTCAATAGCTATGTAACAGTCATTACCAGAGGGTAGTGTGCCTTAGTGGTGGCATTTTGCACTGAGTCCCTCTACCCTTAGCCTGGAGTTGTGGCTTCGGAAAAACGCCGCCGACGCCGGCATGGTGGGACAGCGACACTGTCCTGCACTTACCCTCTGGTAAACGCTTACAGTTTGCGAACTGGAAAATGGCCCAGTTTTCCATTTCGCAGACTGTTAGTCATTACCAGAGAGTATGTAGCAACAGATTTGTTTGCATTGAATTATGCCATAGTAATTCCGGTCTCAAGGAGTGACTTTGCCAAGGAACCTGCAGGCCTGAAGTTTGGTGACAGGTTCAACCCCTCGAACGAGTGACCCTTCCAAGCAAGCTTCAAAACTTAATTAACCTTTGGTGATGAGTTCAACACGAGCCTGGCAGGAGTGTCCTTTCCAAGCAGTCTGCAAAGCTTGACTTTCGGTCTGCATTTCAAGCAGAGCCTTGATGGAGTGTCCTGGCCAAGCAGCCTCCAAAGCTTGACTTTTGGTGGTGACTTCAACCAGAGCCTTGAACACGTGATCTTGCCACTTGGTCTACATCACCTGACTCTCTGTTTTGGGTTCGACCAGAGTCTTGAACGAGTGACTTTGCCAGGCAGCCTGCAATGCTTGACTTTCGGATGGATGTTTGACCAGAGCCTTGAAAACATGATCTTGCCAAGCAACCTGCAATGTCTAACTCTTGACCACAGGTTGAATCAGAGTCGAACGAACACGTGACCTGTCGTCAAAACGGTCTGAAAGACTTGACTTTTGGCGATGCCTTTGATCAGAGCCTTGACTCCGTGACCTTCCCAAGCTGCAATGTCTTGACCTTGGTTGGAGCTTCGACCACGTGACGCTGCCGGGCAATCTGGAAGATTTAGCTCTTGGTGTGATGTTGAACCGGAGTCTTGAACGCCTCCGAATGCCAGAGAGTTTGAAAACCTTGCGATTTTGTCTCTTGAACGTGTGACCTTGGCCACCAATCTGCAAAGCTTGACATTTGGCGGTTTTTTTTTGAACCAGAGCCTTGAGCGCGTGACTTTGCCAAGCACCTTGCAAAGTCTGACTTTTGGTCTGATGTTTGATCAGAGCCTAGAACATGTGACTCTGCCAAGCAACCTGAGGAACTTGGATTTTGGTGACCGCTTTAACCAGAGCCTTGATGGAGTTTCCTGGCCAACCAGCCTCCAAAGCCTGACTTTTGGTTCTGACTTTAACCAGAGCTGATCGGCTTGCGATGGTTCCAAAGATTGGGAGGATGACGGGCGCTGGGCATTTTGAAACGCTGTATTGCCTTGGCAAAATATTAATACAGCTGGAAATACTTCAACATCTCATGGTTGCTCAGCATCTTCGAGATTTCAGCAGCATTTTTGTTGGGGATCCTCCATTTTCGGTACCTAAATCCTCATGATACTACATGACAACACCATCATAACACGGTTTTTCACCCAAATTCTGATGTCACCTACTTTTTTTTCACCCTTTTTTGAACCCGCTAATCAAGTTGGTGGCAATCGGACCTAAACGGTAAAAATGTGGGAGAAAAACTCATGGGATGATCTGACTGATGGAGGCTCTTTGCTCGTGTGACCTTTCCCAGTATGGTGCATCCTGTGCGCTTGCTCATTGAGGACCGCAGCCGTTGGAGCGTTGGAGAATCCGAGGGGTTGAGCACCATCCGATGATTCGATATCATGGAGAATCCAAATCAGAATAGCATTACTGGTTGGTGGTGACTGGAAGTTTGGAACCATGGAATTTTGTGACTTTCCAGAAACAGTTGGGAATGGAAAATCATCCCAACTGACGAACTCACTCCATGATTTTTCAGAGGGGTTGGTGGCTCAACCACCAACCAGTATCTATCAATAATATTACTATTGAATACTATTGATCCAAATAAGTATTGAAGATCAATAAAACTGGGGCTTTTTATGGAACAATCAGCTGTAGAGAGGATGATCAGCTGTCATGGTCCCGATTTTCTGAGCAATTTTCGTAGGAAATACAGGGGCTTTTCAATCGTGGGACCATTCAAAATGGTGATTTTCCCACTAAAAATGGTGATTTTCCATAGTTATATGGGAACATCGTAATCTGGTTGGTGGTGACTGGAACCATGGAATTTTAAATGACTTTCCAGAAACAGTTGGGAAATCATCTCAAGTGACTTTCACTCCATCATTTTTCAGAGGGGTAGGTCAACCACCAACCAGGGGACAATAGTGGGGTACAACTCTATAACCAACTACCCTTTGGTAAATAAACATAGACCCTGAAAATCACCTATTTTTAATGGAAACTAGTCTTCCAACCCCTATCTGCCAGGGTCTATATTAATTTGCCAGAGGGTATCAGTATCACATATGTATACAACAAAAATACCACCAGAAAATGGTGAAAATACAAAGACCAGGGAGCCACCGGCGTTCGGCTCCTTGGCACTTTGCTCATCGAACCGATGTAGATCCAATCAGTTCATCTGGTCGGTGGTTTCAAACATGAATGGATTATTTTCCATTTCATATATGGGATGTCATCCTTTCCATTGACGAACTCATATTTTTCAAGATGGTTAAAGCCACTAACCAGACATGTGTTTTTCCATTGAACCCCCTCGAGGTTTGTCGCTTTGTCTAAGGGAAACCGTGTTTCATCCTGCGATTTTGGAACGTCATGTTCCATCTTGGGGCAGATGGCCGCCCAAAAAAGGGGCACATCGACCATGTGAAAAATGACCAAGTTGGTTGGTGAAAAAAATCGATTTATCACCTAAATAAAGGCCTATTCATAGATGATTTCCAGCTATTGTCTTTTCCAGTAAACACCAGATGGTTTTCACCGCCATCAACTCCCTTAAATGGTTGATCCACTCACCCCGAAGTGATAGCTGATTTCCTCAGATTTTTCCCAGCATCACATGTGAATTTCCACCTGTCAGTTTCGATTAGAAACCCAGGCGAGTCTATACCCTTTATCCCCATTGATTGTTGCTTAATGTCACCATTTTTTGTAGCTATATAAATTATGTCTATAGTGGCTCAATAGTTTATAGTTTCAATCACCACATGCCCAGATTTTGCAATGCTTCCTAGAATTGGCAAAAAAAGGTTTAAAATGCGAACTTTGCCTTCCATCAATCCATGATTGTCATATTTGTTGACGATATCGATATCTATATCCCCTTTCTATGAATTCCCATTATATTCCCCTTATATTCGCATGATATCCCCATTATACGCCGTGGAAGTTGTTATGCCACTCTTGTCAGGAGCTCAAACCCTGGACTTCCATTGGCGACGAGCCCAAGTGCCTCAGGTGTCGCTGTCGGTTGTGCGGGGGAAGTTCATAAGGTTTCTCCTGATACAAAAAGAAATGGAAAACCCTTAGTTTCCCTTGGTCATGATCCATTATTTGGTGGATTCTCAATATGTTTTTATTGCTGTAGGGTAATGACAAATCGGTTTTGTCAATGGGGAAATCTGAAAAAAACATTTTTGGGGCATGCCAAATCTCCTTATCCAGAAAACATCTGACAAACCCTAGTTGAAGGGAACATTGCCGGTTCAACCCCCCTACTGGTTGGTGGTTTCAACATGTTTCAACCATTTTTATTTTCCATAATATATGGGATAATCCTTCCCATTGACTAATATGTTTCAGAGGGGTAGGTCAACCACCAACCAGCCTATCATTTTTTGGAGTTTCAACAGAACGAATTCCCTTCAACCCGTTTTGGGAAACGAATTCCCTAGGATAGACCATGACCCAACCAGCGGTTTTTCACGGGCTCGGACGGGCTTCTCAGTTGCACACTTCACTGATCCGAGAAAGTGATACAGTTTTCCACTCCGATCAATAAGTCTATTGGGATTACAGACTGAAGTACCCAACCTGGTTATGACATTCACAGGGCTAGCCATGGAAAATCACCATGGCCCATCCATCGAAATAGATGGTAAAAACCGAACTTCATAGCGTTTTGTGATGGCTTCCATGGCGAACTGTTAGTCATAACCAGATGGTAATTTGCCAGTGAACTTTTGGAACATCGGGGACTTGAAGGGGGCTTGATTGATAGGTAAGTTGTTTTGTGCCTATAACATCCTATAACAACTATGTAGGAGTTATTGTCGCTATATGTGAATGGGTCAACACCTATTAGTGTATTTACATTTATATTTACCATATTTGGGGTATAGAATAACCATCCAGCATCATCCAGCTATCCCTAGGGTTCGCTGTAATTTCCGCTATTTTGAAAGGAATTTCCCACCATGTTGATAAAGCAATAGTATATGAAGCACCCCATATGGATTGTTTATTTTTCAAGGCTTAAGAATGGTAAAATTGCCATAGTTTACTATTGCTTCTGGTAAAGGAAACCCTTTGGTCATTGAACAGTTCGCTGTGGAAGCCATGGTTTTATGATTTATGATCATTTGCCGATCAAAGATGGTGATTTTCCATAGAAAACTGCAACGAAATACAAGAGGATATAATATTAAACTATTCTACTTGGTTACATCGGTATTTTATTGACGGTTAGTCACTGCCAGAGGGTATGAACTGACCCGCAGAACGGACTCCAGAGTTTGGAAAACTCGTTGGTCCTGAGGTCAAATCAACCGGTGATTTGGAGATATGGCAAACCTAACAGTAAATCATCCCCAATTCGGTGACTTGTGGGACAATCATGGTTTAGTTATGATGGAAAAAATCTGGCAAATGTAGCTCGGTATTGTAATGTGCTAAAAGAAATGCCATAAATCGGGATGTTCACATCGTTAAACCATGAAACATGGGGGACTTAAACCAGGTAAATGGTGGAATATATAGTGTGGGACAACAAAAAGGATCGTAGTGGGATAATGATAATGATAAACCATCTTTAATTAGGTTGATCAAAGGGACAATCATGGTTTGATTGTGGCTTACCCTCTGGTTATGACTAACAGTTTGCCATGGTATAGATGGCCCATTTACAGATGGTTTACCTGGGTTTACCTAATGTTAGTCATAACCAGATGGTAATTCTGGTACATGATGGGATATTACTACCGGACCATCCCTGCTTACGAAATACGGCTGCAGGGTGATGCGAAAACCTGGTGATGTGAACGTTGGTTTATTGAAACCGTAGTAACTACCCGGCCTGGTAAACGTTTACATAGCTATTGAAAATGACCATTTATAGTGGATTTACCCATTAAAAATGGTGATTTTCCATAGTTATGTTAGTTTGCCAGGGGGTAAACAATAATTTTGCAAGCATATATCCTACTTATTAGAGTTTATAGATATATCTACCATAGGATTTCTAAGTTGGTTTATGTAGATGTTATCTACCATAAATCTGAGTGAAATTGGAGCTATACACAAACTCAGCTAACGACCTGGGGCACCACCTTGTGCAGGTCACATGCACCAAATAGTGTCACCATATGGTTACCACCTGAACACCAAGTTACTACCGTGTGGTTAGCACGATTACCCTCTGGTAAACGTTTACATAACTATGGAAAATCACCATTTTTAATGGGAAAACTCACTATAAATGGCCATTTTCAATAGCTATGTTAAGTTACCAGAGGGTAGGTCCAAAATGGCAGAAGCCCACGACTTCTAGAAGTTTATCTATACATGGATGTAGATGGATGTAACACAAGTAGATATGGCAGTGTGTCAAAACCAATAGTACCCCTGGTGAACATCAAAATAGCTGGTAAATGGATGTTCATCCCACTAAAAATGGTATTAATAGGTATTGATTCATAGCCATATCAGTTTTTCAATAATACTGTCATACACGATGTAACTATTCCTCTTTTTCCATCTTTTGTAATCCATTCCCACATCAACAAAACGACAAATTTGGATCCCTGGTTTAGTATTGGATCTCTGCATTTCTTTTTTTGGGAAGGGATTGTTGAAGACATGTCTATTCCAAATCGAGATTCGTATTCAGCCCCTTTGTCGATGGTTTTCTATTGCACATGGTGGCTTTCTATATTGCAATTTTAAACATTCCAGAGGGTATAAGCTAAGAATCTTCTATTTGCTCTCCCGTGAACTCACATAGATGTAGACCCAGCATGTGTAGATATCCCTTCCCAACTTGCTGGAGAAACCATGGGGTTTTCCACATCGAAACGTTCACCTTAGGCTATTTCCAACTGGGGAGATTGGTGGATTGCCTTTTCCATGGGGCTCCACCGAGACGCCATCGGCCAGAGCCAGAGCCAGGCGTTGCTTCACCGGCACGGCCACGGCACATGGTCAGGCGAGACGGAGTGGTTCATCTCACTTAAGTGGCAAAAAAAACACCCGTAATTTACATGGATTCAGCCTACTTATCCCACATGAATCACTGGGCTTATAACCCGCTTACGATTCGTGGGATGAACCAGCAAGTAACGGGGATTTGGCCAACAAAAATGGAACATGGGATGAGACAACTGTATATATTACTAGATTTTACGGTGATTTTACAGGGATTCAATGACCTTCAATGGGGGTTTTAGGGGGACAGCGGGAGACAGTGGGGATTTTTTCCCAACCAACTATGATATGTGTTGGATCTCCCAAAGTCAACGGAGGTTTTGGCAACAAAATGGGGACATTTCATGGGAATATCATGGGATATACCATGGTATAATGCCAAACCATGGTATCATCATGAATAATCATGGTAATCTGGGATAATAATGGATTATAATGGATTATATGGGATATACCCGGCCCGGTAAACGTTAACAAACAACGATGGAAAACCACCATGCTATTAATGGGTAAATCAACTATTTCGACTGGGCCATTTTCAATAGCAAACTGTTTGTTTACCAGAGGGTAACTGAGAATACAGTCATTCTGGAGTAGATAGGTTCTGGCAATGCAATTTACATAGCTATTTTTTTTAGCCGTTGCCGATTTAGTTCGATGATTTACCATGTTGAAAGATGGTGGCTTTCCATAGCAAGCGGTTAGATTACCAGAGGGAATTTAGTTCTTTACAACCAGATCTGTATTTCTAGTTTGGTAATTTACTGGGTAATTACAAACCTGGCACGCCATTTTTTTTCTACTGAAAGGGGGTTAGTTATCTTGATTTGTGATAAACCCCAGAAAGTTAGGTCTGATGACAAATATCTCCAAGTCAGGTCATTGCTCAATCATTGGATTGGTTTGAGAGACAATTTTACTGGAAAACTCCATCTTTGATGGTAAAGGGACACTGGTTTTGTGTCGATTTTCCGTCGATTCCCCCCCCCAAAAAACAGTTGATGTCTTCTGGCCGTGCTTTCCTTGTGACACCGCCAAATCATTGGGTCCAAGCAAAGAGTCGAGAAATCGCCGATGGTGAGGAGTTGACGGTGAGGAAGTGGTACCCTCTGGTAATTTACAGTTTACTATTGAAAATTGCCATTTATATAGTTGATTTCCTACTAAACATGGTGATTTTCCATAGTTATGTAAACGTTTACCAGAGGGTAAACGTCCTCTCCCAGGTGATGGAAAAGGCGGAAAGGCGGCTAAGCGACGGCGCCTCGCGGGTCCAACCTGGTCCTTTACCTCCCAAGCTCGGCCCATCAGGACTTGCGGCAACGCAGTTGGATCTGATCCTCTCAGGCCTTTGGCTTCCTCGTCGTCTGTGCCCCTAAACCGCTCTTGAGGCTGCTGGAACGATGTTCTATGGGGGCGCAGATGATGAGATGGGCTTAAAGTGCCACGCGGGTCACACAAACCAAGCGTTGCGCAGGCTATCGTCTGTGCCCCTAAAGCTTCGTTGTGACAAAGGCAAGTTTCAATTTTTGAGGGAAGTCTCGCACGAAAGCTTCGTTTTCACCTCTTCAACTGTCACTTTTGCGGGAAGTCTCGCACGAAAGCTTCGTTTTCACCTCTTCAACTGTCACTTTTGCGGGAAGTCTCGCATGAGAGCTTTGTTTTCACGTCTTCAACTTGCAGTGTTGGAAGGATGTCTCGCACAACATTTTCGTTTCAGCATCTTCGCCTTGCAGTTTTTGAAGGACGTCTGGCACAAAAGCTTATTTTTCACGACTGCAACTTGCAGTTTTTGAAGGATGTCTGTCTATAGAGCTTCGTTTTGATATCTCTCACTTGTTGTTTTGGAACGTGTTTCAGAAAGGAGATGCCAATTCTGAAACTTTTGCTCCTGGCTTGCCTGTGGCCTACTTGGTTAGAGGTGTTGATTCCACCTTTGCATCAGCGACTTGAAAGCCGAAATCCACTATGACGTTGTTCCCCAAATAAGTTTGCCACTTCCATATCATATATTCTATAGTGTTTTCGAGGGGTCAAGAGTCAGTGAGTGACATTTGGCAAAGCATGTGCTTTGGGCTCCGGTCATGTCGTCCATTACGCAAGGTGATTTTTGGAAGGACAGGTTTTCAATTTAATGGGCTGAAATCCTTTTCTTGTCACGCTTTGTGCTGCACCGTTCAGGGTCCTATTCTTCTACAGGGTTGTCATGCATCGAGCTGTCCTAACTTGCTTGAACACGTACATCCCCATAGTGCTGTTTGCTTCCGTCTCAAGAGCATTGTCTCATTATATCCTCATGATGGTTGAAGATTATATATATGTAATATTTTATGTTTTTCTGATACAGTGCCATTATAACTCTTCCCCAAACCTGAAGAGTCGTACCCCTAAGATATTTTTATAACTACTGATATTTTCTTATATGGTGCCATGAAAACCCACACCAACCTAGAGGGTCTTACCCCTTAGAAGTATCTTGGTATTTGATATTCCTCCTATATGATATTCCCCAACCTAAAGGGTCGTATCCTCTTCCTAAAGGATCTTAGGGGTACAGGTGACATTCTTCCTATATGGTTCCATGATAGTTCTCCCCCCAACCTAAAGGGTCGTATTCTTCCTATATGGTTGAGTAGATAGAACGGTGGCACACCTGACGTGGCCTATGTGCTGAGCATCACTTTTAACATCATTTGGTGAAGGCCTTTCTATCTGGGAGTTCCTGCATATATTAATTATATATTATATATTCTATATATAATATATTATATATAATATATTATATATTTCATATATATAGCTATAATATGATATATATATATATAATATGATGTATGATATATCCCCATATTAAATTCTTGCTTGTATATCCAACTTTTATCGCAGATCTTAACCCCCGATGTTTTGGTAAATGGCGGGAGGTTCTTCAGCGCTTGCTGCCCCCAGCGATGCCCTTTGCCCTGTGGATTCTCAGTGACGTCTCTTGGCCGGTGCTGTTTTTCTCGGTGGGGATGGCGTCAAGGTCGTGAGTATGGCCTAAACTGCAGATGTTTTTTTTGTTTTTTGTTTCTTTCGATTCGATACTGATCCAAATTTGAGGATATCTTGAAGAAGATCCAACGAAAAGAAGAACACAATTTCCGGATGCGAGAAAGATGAGAGTTACGCAACATAATTTCCGGTTGCGTCCAAATATGTTTTGTTTGCTTTTCTGGGGTTGCCACAATGGTGTTTAGAAGACGCTATCCAGAGGGTTGCACACGTCCCACATGGAGGATTTTCGTAGTTTGGTAAGGATCACTTTATGGACCAGGTCCACCTGAAGCGCCCCTGGGTAAGTTGGTTTGTAACTATAATGTCTGGGTCTATGTTGGATATTAGTTTTATAGTTAGATGGAGTTCTTATAGTTACAAATGAAGCTCAAATGAATTTGAGAGATGGTGGATATATCTAAAATAAGTGGTTTGGGGTTGGGGTATATCTGTGTTTAGATGGAGGTTACATGAACCAACAAACATAATTGGGGGACGTTGACAATCCCTTTCTTGTATATAAAGAAAGAGGCAGTTGTGGGTTTTAAACTGGGGGATCCGAAACATGATTCAAATCAGTTATTTCGAAGAGGAATACCAAGGGAGGGTGGGATTCTGCAAATTGGTGCTGTTTCTTAATGGTCATAATCCTTTTTTTGTTGATACATGTCAATGAATGATGATTTGTTCCCTGAAGCTGCAGTACTTGTATCATTTAACAGCTCCCCGTGCTGGTGCCTTGCAGAGTTCGAGACCTAAGGATCATGATGGCAGCGGAATCGCTGGAGGGCACTGTGCCAACTATGACTTCGAACTGCAGATAGGAAGCATGGCGAACAACGGGGCACCGTGAAACATGGGGGATTTCGCCAGGAGCTGACTAGCTTGTGGGCAAGCCAAGGCTATGAATCTACTGGTGATTTAGGGAATGGTTGGAATTTCTTGGGTTTACCTACTGAAAATACCTTGCTTGACAGATTATGGGGAATTCGCCAAGCTGTGTAATTGGGGATTATGAACTAACCCATAGTAGGGAAATCGTTTTCAACCAAGTAGTATTTCATGAGATGGGATATGCAAATGACTTAGGAGTTGTGTATAAGGTGATGACATAGGATTTGCCCAACGCCCCCCCAAAATGTCTGAAGACTTAGGACTCTAGGCGTGAAGATAGGGAGAAATCTTGATGACTTGCTTGGGGTCATCATTTTTTTTTGGGGGCATCTCCGACTTTTATGGAAACTCAATCATCAAAGAACATCGGGCGAGAAAGCAGATTTTTGAACAACCAAGATGGGGGTATTATATGATATTATAAGATATTCATTGCTGACGCAAGTAGTGTCCACGCATTGCCACAACTCTCTTTAGATATTGAGATATCACATTACCAATCCATAGCTGGTTGGTTCTTTGGAACATGAATTTTATGAATTTCCACTCAATTACCATTAATTATATAATTACCAGTCAATTACCATGAATTACCAGTCAATTACCATAATGTCCCAGATATTTTTCCATATATTGGGAATGTCATGTCATCCCAACTGACGAAGTCATACTTTTCAGAGGGGTAGGTCAACCACCAACCAGATAGGGATTCCTTGACGAGATGGTGAAGCGCCTAGGCCCTGTGCCGATGTCGAGCATGGCGCAGGCGCGAACATTTTAAAATGTGGGATTTCACGGAGTAAAATGGAGGTTTAATGACATTTGATGAGGGATTTCATGTTTTTTTTTAATTTTCACAGAACTATGTTATATATATACGTATATATATATATATATATATTGGTTATGGTAAAAACGTAAGACATTACATCAAACTTGCGACTTGATACAACCATTGCGAATTACTAAAAAAACTTCGATTTCCTCAATCCAGGAAGATCGTAAAAATTACCCATATTACCCTATAGTGGCATGGTCTTTTTCCCCTGAACATAGGGTATGATCATCATTTTCCTCACTACAATTGCATCGTGGTTCATTTGACCACAAATTTACCCCAAAAAAATGATGATTAAATCAGCTAAATCCTTATTAAAATATGTCAGACATTGTTAGACCATCATTTTTCATGGCAGAACTGCCGGTCTCCAATCAAAATCACCATGAAATGTCCTGAATCACTACTTTGGAATTCGATTTGACGCTTTTTTTCTCATGTATAAACTTAGTATTTTTCCTATAAACATGGTATTTTTTTTCCTATAAACATGGTATTTTTTTCCTATAAACATGGTATTTTTTTCCTATAAACATGGTATTTTTTTCCTATAAACATGGTATTTTTTTCCTATAAACATGGTATTTTTTTCCTATAAACATGGTATTTTTTTCCTATAAACATGGTATTTTTTTCCTATAATCATGGTATTTTTTTCCTATAAACATGGTATTTTTTTCCTATAAACATGGTATTTTTTCATGAACATGATGGTTTTTAGCACATTTTCACAGCACTTTCCTGTTTTTTTCCGGGTCGCAACGGGTCGCCGAAACGCGAGTCGGCCAGGACTTCCTTGGGCCAGCTGCGTGGCTTTGTGAGGGGGGTGCCTGGCCAAGGCGATTGGCTGCTTGGAACGAAGTGTTTTTTCGGAGTGAAAGGTGGGGTGAGAATTGGTAATATATAATGATTATTATAATGATCATTATAATGATTATTATAATGATTATTATAATGATCATTATAATGATTATTATAATGATTATTATAATGATCATTATAATGATTATTATAATGATTATTATAATGATTATTATAATGATCATTATAATGATCATTATAATGATTATTATAATGATTATTATAATGATTATTAAACTGATTATTATAATGATTATTATACTGATATCATAATAATGGATGATGATAATGACAATAGATAACGAGATAGTAATGATTACTGTGATGAATAATGGGTAGTGAATAATGGGTAATAAACGCTATAATTTCACTGGTAGATATAGTTAATCTTCACCACAATGATTATATCCTGGCTATATAATCGCTATCTAATGGCTTATTTTCCATCAAGTATGATCCATAATCATTGTGATGGGATAATGCATATATAGCCACAATTACTAATATCATTAGTAATATATATATATATACATACATACAGACATATGTATTACTGGAGTATGCATTTATATAGTCACTTGGGGAATATATCATAGCGGAGGCTATAGAATGATTTTTTAACTGGAACATTTACATGAATCAGTACTTTTTTTTAATTTGCTATACAAATCATTTTACATTATTACGTAATGGGGATATTCATGAAATACCCTCTGGTAATTTAACATAGCTATTGAAACTGGTCATTTATACATGGTTTACCTATTAAAAATGGTGATTTTCCATGGCTATGTTAAATAACCAGAGGGTAAATTGAAATTTGCTGCGATCAATTTTTTGGGGCAAAACCGGAGACAAAAGGAGACATAATGTTAACCATTTGACGGGGATTATCGAATGATATTTTTTTGGAACCAAACATGGCTATGCAATGATGGCTAGCAATTGCTAAATAGTTGGACAATTCTACTTAGGGAATATTTTATCTGGTGGGATATTCTCATGGAATGTTGATGGGATATTAACAATCAAGAATGGAACATATAATGAGGAATATTTTTGTATTACCCTCCAGTAGTCAAAAGTGCCAATCGCACATTCCCCTGTAAAAAATGGAGGTTTACAGCTGGGAAAATCATGAAAAACGTGTAGGATTTTCCAGCACGCAATGTTTGATTACCAGAGGATAATACAGCTGGGTGTGTCGGAAAATTGGGACATATTAAAAATATTTAAAAATGGCATTTTCTTCTCGGCAACATTCTTATCTAAAACCACTGGGTTTAGGGATATACTATGTTCAGACAAACCCACTTGGGTGTACAATTCTAAACATGGTGACAATGGGTTTATTATGATGGGGTTATAATGGGAGAATCATCTATCAATGGGGATAGAATGGGATCTACAAGAACATACTCAGTTAACAAACCTGGTTAGTAAGTTCCGAAGCGGGGTTATCCCATAGACTGCTTAATTACGGCTAAACAACGTGGGGGTGCAGTTGGCCCGGTGGCCTAACTTTGATGCATGTAACATCCCTGAGTTGGAATAGTAAATCTTGTAACTATGGTTCTATTTCCATTAATTGGAACTGCACCCAAAAGTAAGGGATAAACAAAAAATGGGCGTGTCTGAAAATGAGAAAACAACCGCCGCAGTTTTCGCGTTGAACACGATGATAAGCCATCAAATTTGTGGTATTTTCAGACAAACCCTCATTTTTACCATGAAAATACCTAGTTATATTCTGGGGTACCTCGCGGGGTACCTCGCGCGGGTGAGTGGGAGGTGAAAAATGGTCCTTTACCAATCGTGATAGAATCCTATCGGGTGATGGGAACATTACAGGACTCCCTTATGCTTTGGGGGTACCCTCTGGTAATTTGTATTGAACATGGCCCAGTCGAAATAGTGGATTTACCCAGCTATATAGCATGGTGGATCTTTCCAATTCGCTATGTAAACGTTTACCAGGCCGGGTAAAAACTCTGTTTCCTGAGGATTTTCTGACCATTGAGGTGTAGGCAAGATCACGCACTAGATGAATCATCTGTCTCGGTGGGCTGCAATGAAACGACCCGGCTGAAGAAGAGACCTGCGTTGCGTTGCGACCTCGGTCGTCCACGGCTTGAAAAAAGGAGAGGCCGAGTCCGCCTTCACGATGAATGCTGCGAGCTGGGCCCTGGAAGCAAAGAAATCTTGCTTCCAAGCAGTCTGGCCGACACCTCTCGCTGCGATTGTCTCGGAAATGTTTCTTTTCCGGCTTCGCGGTCTCGACTCCATGAAAAATTGGATGCCATCCATCTGTTGATTGGAGAACTTTCCAATTAACTACCATATTGATAGCGGGGCGTACCCACCAAGAGTAGGAAAAACAGGGATTAAACCATCAAAACCGGGATTCTTGCACCAATGCATTAAGTGCCTGGTCCCAAAACTCAAAATCCCATGCGTTGAACTATGGAATCATTCATCGGGTTTCCTTTTAAAGTTAATCCATTCATTAAAAAACCATCAAAGTTGGTCCGCCAAAAATTGCTCCGGGAAGCTGTTTTGGTCGTTGGTGAACTCTCTGGGTTCGTCTGAAAATTCAGGGGAAAAAACCCCACAATCGACGGGTCAATGATCACTTTCTTCGTTTTAAAACAGTGATTTGGAGGTATAGCGAAAAAAAGTCCATAGCCCACATGTAACAGCTGGCTTTCAAGGCCTCTACCATAGGTATACCACATTTTCAGATAAACCCATCTGTGGTTTCCCAATTTTGGGGCGTGTTTCAAATGCCCAGCGCTCCAGAGTCCTGGTAAGTGCTGAATTCATGGGGCGAATTCAACAGACATAAGTGGAGTATCCCGTTATTTGATTACCCTCTGGTGAACTAACATATAACGTTAATATATGGTTAATATATGGTTAATGATGGTTCAGATATACCCTTTGGTAAATTAACATAACTATGGAATATCACCATCTTTAATAGGTAAATCAACTATCAATGAGGCATTGTCAACAGCAAACTGTTAAATTACCAGAGGGTATATTACATCCCATGATATGGCTATGAGTCAAAAGTAAAGACCCGCAAAAGCACAGATTTTGGTCTATTTTTAGGATTGACGAACAAAAATCATTGTACCCAATTTATTTCACCACACCAAAAAAAACCTAATTGCTGGTGAAATTTACTGAGTTTTTCACCTGTTTTTCTTGGTACCAGGTCATAAAATGTCATAAAGCCCATATAAAGCCCACCTGCCAAGCTGTTATGATGTGTGACATCCTCCCATTGATGGCCCCTTTTTCCAAGGAGCAGAGCACGGATGGAATTTTTATGACCGAGTTTCTTGGCGGCTGGGGGAAGGGCACAGATGGTTTTTCGGTTGGGAAAAGGTACGTAGGGATCACTCGAAAAATTGGGCAGTGGGGTTGGTGAACTACCACAAAAACCCTCTGGTGATTTTTTTTAGAGTTTGCGAAGTTGAACATGGCCCAGTCGAAATAGTGGATGACTACCCATTGATAGCATGGTGGATCTTTCCAGTTCGTTTTTTGTATATTTACCAGGCCGGGTATATATGGGAAAACTCCAGAAATCGGGGCTGATGATCCTCCAAGTACCTTCGAATAGTTAGTCAATAAAACACCTACCTCAAATCAGCGACACACACACACACACACCAGACATGATGATGAAACAACAATATATCGCAATGTTTTTTTCCAAACATATTGTTGGTTAAATCCCACAAAAACCCTCTGAGAATCAAACATTGAATCCCATGATATCCCTATAACCTGGTTGGTGAAACCGCCAATGTGGTCCCTGAAGCACATAACGAGCGGGTTCGTTCACCCCAGTGAAACATGTGGTTTTTCGTCCTACTCGGTGCTGGACCTTAGGCCGGAGTTCCCATGGATTGTGAGAATCACAAAATCCCCAAATGGATGAAATTAAAGATACCCTCTGGTTATGTCAAAATAACTATTGAAAATGGCCATTGAAATAGTGAGTTTTCCCATTAAACATGGTGATTTTCTATAGCTATGTTAGTTTACCAGAGGGTAGGTTATGAAGTTAAGAAGAAATCCATTGATTATGATCAAAAGTGAGATTTCCATATGAACCTTTAGTCCCCATGGATAGGTTATGAAGTTAAAAAGCCCATATGGAGGTTTCCTAAGTCATAGGGGTGCACCCAAATCATCCATAGCTTGGGGATATCCCCATTCCAGGAACCCCCCATCTAATCAATGGCCATTTTAGGAACCTAAATTGGAGGTACCGATTCCATATATATATATATATATATTTGGCCTATTTTTCAGGCCTAAATTTCAGGGAATATCCCCACAATTCATATGGCCAGAAATATGCTACGTTTACGTACCTCCATTTTAGGATCCTGAGCTTCCCATTGACTGGTTGATGATGAAACATAGGCCAAAAATATATGGAATCGGTACCTCCAATCAATCGGTTCCTGAGTCATGGCCATTGATCATAATGCCTATGTTATCATTTACCATCATTTACCATCATTTAACCACCATTTAACCACCATTTACCCATCACAATGCCACTGAACCAACAGGGCTTCAGCAGCTCCCAGGCGGCAGGTCCTCCGCCAGCGTCGCTTTGCCCTGCGGGATCACTTCGATTTGACCCGACCACCAGACGTCGAAACGACGTCGGCGGCGCCGGGATCGTTGGGAGGTCTGCATGCCATTGAGATACAGGTGGGGTTGGGGGGTTGGGGAACAGGGGGAGACAGGGTGGATGGATGGGGTGGATGATGGATCTGGGTAAATTTCATCACGACCTCACTGTTCTCCCTCACTGGAATCATGGTTAATAAGGGAAATCATCCCCAAATGGCCTTAATTCAGGTTAGTGAATTATTATAATTTACCCAGATGGATGTATGGTGGAACTATGGCAACTATGGTGGATTTCGAATCGCTGGAACTAGTCATAACCCGACGGATCATCGGGGGATGGCCGGATATCAATGAGTGCACTTTTTTTCGGCTTACCAAGGGCTTATCAAAAGCCGTACTTAGAGGGGAAACATCCCAACTTATATGGAGGTTATTATACAGTTATGCCATGTTATACCCAACTTCTTGTTACCGACCAGTGACTACCTAGAACCTATCATAGACATGAAATTTGGGGTTAAAAAGGATTTACTCAATTTTACTCATAATTTCATCCATATTTCAATATCTTTCATCCATTTGTCCATGGTGAAATCTGGATTTACTGATTTACTCATATGGATATTTTTCCCCATATTTTTCCATTTTTTTTTTCCATGGTTCAACTGCTAACAAAAAAAGCAAACAGTTCCAGCGGTGCCGGTGCCGGTTTTACGAGGTCTCCGAAGCTTCCATCTTTCGGCTGACGACGCATGCGCCCACCGTGCCTGCGCGGCCGGTCTTGGTACCAGGCGCTGACGTGGAACCGTCAGAAACGTGCCAGATGAAGAACGGGAGTCAAACGAAGTGGGCAAAACGGGGGTTTAACGTCCTTAAGAAATCGGTAAATGAAGATTTGTTGATGATGAAAGTTGATAGTGATAGTAGTGGTGGTAGTAGTAGTAGTTGTTGTTGTTGTTGTTGTTGTAGTAGTTGTCTCCCCGGTCGGTGGCGCGTCTCGAATGGTGGTGGAGTTTTCCGAGCTCATCTCAGAAAACGATCCTCTGAGCCCATCATCATGTTCTTTTTTGACATGAACAATGACCAAAACCCCTTTTGATTGCTTATAAAAATGGAAATCTCAATTAGAATACCATCTATGTCCTGGAAAGACTGTTCTATCATGTTCTATCTATTTGGGGGTTACCACAGTTACAGTGCGATAGAATGGTGAATTATCACAGGGGGCCACACTCCCTGGCTTTTGTTGGCGATGATTAAAATCCATCATCCATGATTTGGGAATCCCGGAATCTCAACACAATGGAATGACTCCTGCGCGGGTTTTGAACCCTGCTCAAATCCAACGACTTTACTAATGGTTACCCGCTGGTAAATTAACATAGACCTGAAAATCACATTTTTTTTAGTGGTTTCACTAATCTTCCAACCCCTTTCTGGCAGGGTCAACAATTTAATGTTACTGGAGAGTACCCATCCCCCATCCTCTCCTCAGCAGCAAGTCCTCCGGCCTTCCATCAGGGCGTCAAGATGAAGCATGGTTGGCCCTGTCGAATCCCAACAACGAGATCCTCACACGTCGAATCCCCGCGGCAGGTGCTGTGGGTCCGGGCCGGGCAGCCGGGCCGGGCAGGGTTGCTCCAAGGCATACAAGGTGGGGGTCCTCCTAGATGGCTAAGTGGCTAAGTTGGTTTATATCTCCAGTAAACTAAGTTTGATTTATGGCAAGAAAAACTTAGAATTGGGGGACCTAACTTATGATTTAGGTGGCTGAATTCTATGGTTTATGGTAGATATATATGACTATAGTATTCATGGGGTTTGTAACTAACCAACTTGTAACTGGTGGACCTAACCTTGTAGGTAAATCGGTAAGTCATCGCCGCTTTTTGGCGGGAACATGGTGAGCTTTTGGGAGCAGCCCCTGCTGATTTTGGTCATCCGTAGTACTAAAGAAAATACGCGGACCCCAAGATTTTGGGAAGGTTCCAACCAGCCTTGCTTCATCTTTATGGGGAATTTGTTAGGTGGACTCAGGTCGGTGAACCGAACTCATGCTGGTTCCATCCGAACTCATCACCCTCTGAAAAATCAAACTTGGCTGGCTGGGAAAGACCCGAACTAAATATAACGCCAGAAAAGTCGAACTATATGGAGATTTCCATTGCCATGTTTGATGTCCGTACGGTAGTATGGTAGTGATCTCGGAGCTTAGGTTACTAGAGAGAGAAGGGGGGCTATTGCAGTGTTGGAGTTTGTATCTTATCTTAAACTGGAACATACCCTCTGGTAAACGTTTACATAACTATGGAACATCACCATGCTATTCATGGGAAATTTCACTATTTCTATGGTGATTTTCTATAGTTATGTAAACGTTTACCAGAGGGTAGAAGCATCACAGGAAACCGCAGTCCATTTGCGCATCACCATGGCAACCAATGGGAGGTCAACCCACAACCGATCCAGGACATGGCAACTCCGTTGTGACAAGCTGAAGACATCCAACAGATCCAACGGCCGGCCGTTAGTATCAGCCAAGTAAAATGAGTTTGTTTGAAGATTTTAAACAATGCTATTGGTTAAGCTAATGGTAAATTTTCAATGAAACTCGAATTTTACTATATATTTACTTGGTTATACTATGTTATACTTGGCAAATGAGGTACACCGAATATGCCATGAGTTCATCATCATTATCCCTGTCATAAAATGGCAATGGCTTGTGTGCCAAAAACTCCATTTTCAGACACACAAATAAGATGCAGCGGTCCCCGGAGTCCCTAGGCCGTATAGGGTCAGGTCATAGCACGATGAAAAAAAAAAGTCACCCTTTTCACTATTCAAAGATATTCAAAAAATGTGTTTCAAAATGTTTCAAACAAAAAAAACGTCGATTTCTTGTTGCACCATGGGAAAACAGAAGTCAACAGAAGTCAACCAGAAATTTGACAATGAGTTAAAAAAATCTGTTTCTGTTCAATTTTCTCACTATTGAAGCCATATTGAACCAGTGAATCCCAGGAATTTTACGTTGTTTCGATGGATGGCCCCGTCGAAAAGCCACGTTCAGGTCGTGAGTTTCGACACAGCATCAGCACGGAGTTGTCGCCGGGAGAATACACTCTGCTCTTTGTTTTGGAAATGCCAACAGGTGCAGCCATGGGTGCAGCCATGGGACAAAACATGGGACATACAAGTGGAAGGGTTAAGTCATAGCATTTCGTTTTAAGTCATTGCAGGGGGATTGTTTTCGCATGGAAACGCTGCGAACGTTTTAAGTCATAGCAGCTCCGTTTAAGTCATAGCATTTTTATGGTTTCACCATGGAAACGCGTACGGAATGCAATGGGTTTTAGGATCCTTGTTGTTCTGTTTAGCATGGCCTGACGGTGAAAGGTATATGTCCAGGGCATGTTTTGCACATATGTTTTGTGTACAAGTTACAATGGAAACGCGCGTTGACGATGGATATGTTGGGTACAGTTCATAAGTGAAAACCCAATGTCACAGACATGATTTGAAGATGTCTAGGAACGGCAATTGCGATGCCAAACACCATGGAAACGCGAGCGCAGGAACCATGGTCAGATTACAGTTGGTTTTTCACGGACAGGGCAAGCAAAAGCAATCAACAAAACATACTAAAAAAAGACCAAACAAAGGCTGGTCACGAACGAGGTCAGAACGAGGTCCGAACCAGGTACCAAACGAGGTCAAAAACTACCCGGGACAGACCCTTACCCAAATCCTGGAGCTGGAAGATTTTCGGCTTCAGCTAACAGTTGCAGTGGAATACGCTCATCCAAAAACGAAAAAAACAAATACAGAACTAAGCAAAGAGCGCGTGGAATACGCTCATCCAAAAACGAAAAAAACAAATACAGAAGTAACCCAAATGGTGATAAAATGATACCATGAAATATATCAGTTTACATAGTGTATACTACCCTTTCATGTTTGAATCCTGGCCAATGCTGATAGACAAAGAACCTCGAAAAAAAAAGAGCACCGCATGGCACACACTCATCCAAGAGCAAAGACAACATACATAGCTTATCCAATATGTTATACTATGATGCTCCCCAATATGCCTTTCCGCAAGGCAGACGCTCATCCGCTACGACTTAACACACGATGCAAGGACTTAACCCTAGTACCTAGTAGTGTGGGAGATTTTGAGCTATAGTTCTAGATGTTGAAACACTGGAATTCGAGCGGGTTTTCGAGTTTCGAGAAAGCAGAAGTGACACTTACCCTCTGGTAATTTAACATAGCTATTGAAAATGACCATTTATAGTGGATTTTCCCATTAAAAATGGTGATTTTCCATAGTTATGTTAGTTTACCAGAGGGTAGTGGTTGGTTTCAATTACAGCGCGTTTTTCGGGATGCAAAAGTCGGTGATTTCGATTTACGCCATGTCAAATGTTCCGACACAGCGTGACCAGTGGAATTGGCACCAGCGAATCAAATCCTTCCGGAGAGTTTCTGGCGACATAGGACCCACAAGAGGAGGTCTCAGAACTTTACTACTATAGTCTGACTATAGTTCAGAGATGTTCAGAGGTTTTCTTTGAACTATCCAACTATCCTACTCTAAGTGCGACCATACAGTGCCAGTTACCACCAGCTACTGTATGGGTACTCAATGATCCCATAGATCTGCAGAAGCTGTTGAAAATCCTACCCCGGTTTTTCCACAACATAATCATATAACAACTTGGGGTTGGTTGATGATTATGAATATTTCATGGGCATATAATGCCGATATGATGGGATATACATAACCAACAGTATGATACCTGTTGATGATTAGTTGATGACTGTATGGGGTTCTACTATCCAATGTACTGGGATAGTATCATCGTCCATTATTGTAATCTCGTTCTAAGCCAACCAGTACAATGGAACGACACTTCGGGTGTTTCGCACACTGCTCACCTGCAGATTGGATTTTAGCCAACTCACTCTGTACCGGGATTCTAGATCCACACTCACCACCATCACCACTATCATCCAGTTGTTTTGCTGCTTTTAAGACTTTTTAAGATGTTTTAAGTCCTGTTATTCTAGGGATATGAGTCATGTAAGTCGCACGCATGGCACAACATTCCACGCAAATTCAACAGACCTGAGGTTTCACTTCCTCCCGAGCCATGCTATGAGGATCACGTGACCTGCAGCCGTCCCCTGCTAAGCATGGAGGACTTACGCTGCACAGTGGAAAACCAGTTGCAAGCCTACGTAGGGACTGGTTTCCTGGACCGGAAATGGTGGGTCCGCTTTCTGCAGATCATTGGCGACACAGAGCAGGAAGCACGTGCCCTGCTGAAAGGCCAAGGGGCCAAGATCAGCGTCAAACAGTTTTTGGATTTCCTTTTCGGCCCAAAAGATGTCAGGGTGCTTACAGCAGAGAATAGTGACAACACCACAAGGACCAAGAACTTGAGAGAATACTTCGAGAAGCACTACCGCGAAGGAGGACATTTCTGTCATTCTGATTATGAAGTGTTTGGCGAGATTGAAATTTTCACGTGGATGCACAAGCCAACTGGGATCCAAGTGTGGCGCGATGCCATTGACCTGACCTCAGGTGATGGTGGGCAAGTGTTTTTTCATTACACGAGCGAACTTGCCTTCGGAAACATCACCCATCCCAGCAAGGAAGCAGCTGAAATTTGGGCATCTTTGAGAACCGAAGGGCCCAGCGCCAATGCCTGGTGGGGCAAGGGGATCTATACAGTCCCATTGCCTCCTGACCAGTGGGAAAGTCGTGAGCAGCTGCTAGACAACAATTTCCGCAACATGATGCAGAGAGACAGAGACAGCGATGATCCACAGAAAGGTCCAGCATATGTAGATAGAGAATATCCCAAGAGGGCAGCCTTTTGTGTCCCAATCCTCATCGATCCTGCGAATGCCTTCGATGTCTCCATCAGAGCCACTCCAGAAATGGAGGCAGCAGGGAAGGAACCAGGCAGGAATCTTGCGAACAAACTCTTGAACGAGCCGGGCAAGCCTCCTCGCTCTTGCGTGGTGCTCCGAGTATCTGATGAAGATGGTGTCCAACATGCCCGTGCACAGTTGCTGAATACCCTGCGCCAGCGTGTGCGCCTCGCACCTGCAAGCCTGGACGCTAAGTGGAGGCTCGCTGCGGCACTAGAACTGCGTGGCTTCTATCAGGAGGCGTTGCCTGTGGCTCAGGAAATGGTGGCACTTTGCGAGTCAACATACGGTCTTGAGAGCCATGATGGTTTCAAAAGTCGCACGACTCTGGGTATCATTCTGTACCACATGGGCAACTTGTGGGAAGCTGAAAAGGTGCAGCGAGAACTCCTGGATACCACAGTGAAGGCTCTTGGTCCTGAGCGCGAAAAGACGATCCTCTCTATGCAAAATTTGGCCGTCACTTTTTCCTCAATGGAGGGTCGTGAAGGTGAAGCTGCTGAGTTGTATCGCAAGGTTGTAGCCTTCAGAGAAAAGCAATTGGGTCCTAGCCATCTTGATACTGTGCACACGATGACTAACTTGGCTATCACTCTGAATGACATGGACAATCATCAGGAAGCAATCAAATTGCACCGCAGGGCTTTGGAGGTCAGGGAAAAGACATTGGGTCCCGAGCATCCTGTGACTTTGCAGTCTGTCAGCCACTTGGCAGTCGCACTGCATGGCCGAGGTGATCTGGGTGAAGCCTTGACGCTGCAAAGGCGTGCTCTAGAAGCCAGGGAAAGAGATCTGGGTCCTCAACATCCAAGTACCCAGAGGTCCCTCCAGAGAATCGAGAACCTATTGGGCGACATGATCAACAAAGAGCTGGAGGTGCCAGGTGAAATTGTAGAGCTGTGCCGCGAACTAGTGGCAGGCAGAACAAAGATACTGGGCCATCATCATCCAGATACAGTGGACGCTATGGCGGCCTTGGCATTGAGCCTGACCGGGGCTGGCAACTACCGTGAAGCGGTTGGGTTGCTTCGTCAGGTCTTAGAAACCAGAGAGAAGGAGCTAGGAGTTGATCATCCTACTACTTTGCACATGGTCACCATCATAGGCTTTGCCCTGGAAGAACTGGGTGATTTCAGTGACACGAACTTGCACCGCAGGGCTTTGGAGGCGAGAGAGAAGCTCGGTGCCATGAATTAGGCAGATTTGTAAAGACCATGCGGTAGTCCTTTTGAGCACTGCTAAATGGCAGGGGGGGTGCTGCTTAAAGATGTTTTCACCAATCTGGAAAGAAAATCCAGACCCGCTTGCCTTTCACCCAAAGATCCAACAATGACTCCATGTTTAATATTTGCCTTGCGGTGGGCCCTGCTCCCAGTTGTATGTTCAGACGATTAAAAGCAAGGATTCACAAGTCGCTTATCCATTGCCCCATTGAACTCGGCAACCAGAATGGCTATGTTAGGGATCTTAGCTGCTTCATCTAGGGCTCCAGTTTGGATGGACTGGGTATGAGTCATATCCCGAGTTGTATCAATGGCATTCAATGGCCAATGTATTAGTGACCAGGCCATGACTCAAGGAGATGCTCAGCCGGTTTTTCTCAATTTTTTGGGGTGGCAGGATGATGGATATATGGGACGAAATAGCTGGTGAATCTTTCAATGGTTTCAAGTACTCAAAGTTGTTTGGGCGAGATCCCTTCAAATTGATGGTCCTTGTGTTTTTTGGGGGGGACTTGTATTTTCAAGGGCAAAACTGGGGAAACAACTATGAATATATGGCTGATGGGGGTCTATAATGCTACACTTCTAGGTTCTACACACTATACCCTCAGGTAAACAAACATGGCTAGCTGGAAAAACATAAATAAAACCTCATTAATAGAGGATTTCCCATTGCCACGTGTGATTCGCAGAGGGTATCTCAGGATTGTTTTTTACCATGGAAAAGAAAACAAACAAAAATTACAGTAGTCACCGCGACTGCCGACGCAGGTGGCTTGAGGCCGTGTGCTTCACTGTTGCTGAACCTGTTATTGGAACCTTTGGTGGTACCGTCGCTGCAAGGCGTCACGATTTTCGATGATCAAACATGGGGAAGTCTATGTCAAAAAAGGATGTAAGCCATGCAACCTTGTAAGATGTGGTCATTTGGTCATTTTGGGGTTCTATGTTCAATCAAAGGTTTTTGGTTATACACCCTAGTTTTATTGGATATTTTAAGCATGGGCATGCACATTATATATGCCCATGTTGTTCAATGGGGACGGAAGTTGGCTATAGCGTCGTAACAGGTATTTTTTTCACAGTTCGCCATGGAAATCACCATGCGACTAACGGGAGATATGCGTAAATCCTAGGAGACGGCTATGGTTTCGCCATGTTAGTCACTGGCATATGTGGATACCATGGTAATTTTTTGATACCGCATAACAATTGGTATGTACACACACAAATACATATATATATATATTACATACACATACATACATATATATATATACATATATATATATAATATACACATACATATATATATATATATATATACATATATATATATATACATATATATATATACATATATATATACATATATATATATTATATACACATACATATATACATATATATATATAATTACCCATACTATATAGAAATCAACTCCAATTTTTTTCCACCGCGGCTGAGCCAAGGCGGGAGCTGTTCAAAGCTGCGCTTCGGATGCGGGGAATGGCATTTTGGATCTGCAGGCGGCAAGCCCAGTGGGGACATCATGGGGATATGGGGAAATATCCATGGGGATTTTTTTCTAGCTGACATTCGCAACATTATTCTGGGGATTTTTTTTAATGAGAAGAAGATGTGAATGTGAAACACAACTTGCCAATTAAACCTCTATTAAAGGTAGTAATTGTTCATTTTTTGCAGTATCAACTATGGACAATTGGGGGTATTTTGCCTACAAAACATACGGGGTTGACCAGCCGAAATGGTGAGATGACCAAGAAGGACTAGTACTATAATGGCTATCGGCTATAAGTGGTTTACATAGTAAACTCATGTAAACTCAACAACCACGGACACTTTCCATCTCATCCGCTATCAGTGTTTAGCCATGTTTAGCTTAGCAACTTGTCCAATGGGTAAAGATCCGAGGCGTATCCAAGGTGCCGGGTCTCCAAATGTGACCAACCTGTGGGCGAAATCTCAACAGGAAAGGGCCGCCCCCAGGTATGTTTCTGAGTTTATAAACTCTGTGAACTATAGATTTATGGTCATATTCCCGAGTCATAAATTGGTACTTTCTGTGGTGCCCCCCTCAGTCATAAATTGGTGTATACTCCCCCATGGAAACTCTAGATTTATCTACCACAAACCATTGAAATTGGAGTTATGTTCACCAACTGAACGCGAAGACGTCAGCACCACCTTTTCGCTCGATATATCCACAACTCCAGTTGTTTGCCCAGTAACTCAACTTACAACTTACCCACAAGCCACAAATCAGCTAATATCAACTTACCCAGTTATAACTCAACTTACAATTTACCCACAAATCAGCTGATATCAACTTACCCAGTTATAACTCAACTTACAACTTACCCAGAAATCAGCTAATATCAACTTACCCAGTTATAACTCAACTTACAACTTACCCACAAATCAGCTGATATCAACTTACCCATTATAACTCAACTTACAACTTACCCACAAATCAGCTAATATCAACTTACCCAGTTATAACTCAACTTACAACTTACCCACAAATCAGCTAATATCAACTTACCCATTATAACTCAACTTACAACTTACCCACAAATCAGCTAATATCAACTTACCCAGTTATAACTCAACTTACAACTTACCCAGAAATCAGCTAATATCAACTTACCCAGTTATAACTCAACTTACAACTTACCCACAAATCAGCTAATATCAACTTACCCAGTTATAACTCAACTTACAACTTACCCACAAATCAGCTAATATCAACTTACCCAGTTATAACTCAACTTACAACTTCAGCTAATATCAACTTACCCAGTTATAACTCAACCTACAACTTACCCACAAATCAGCTAATATCAACTTACCCAGTTATAACTCAACTTACAACTTACCCACAAATCAGCTAATATCAACTTACCCAGTTATAGCTCAACTTACAACTTACCCAGAAATCAGCTAATATCAACTTACCCAGTTATAACTCAACTTACAACTTACCCACAAATCAGCTAATATCAACTTACCCAGTTATGACTCAACTTACAACTTACCCACAAATCAGCCAATATCAACTTACCCAGTTACAACTCAACTTAGTTGAAATATATCGACCCCTGAGCCCCACTATGTATAGCATAGGTAGTAGGTCATATGTAGAGCACTGCCGTAGCTATGAGTCCAACTATAATCCAATGTAGCTATTCCCATTAATGATGTACAGAATAGCACCTCCTATATAATTGCAGTAGATAGGTAGAGAGCCAGAGTTAGAAGTAGGTAGTCTTAGTATCCCAACAACTACCGGGGTATAATTAATAGATTACGCTGCTGACGCAATGGCTCAAGCGCGGAAAAGTTCCGTGCTTGTTGTTTGTTCTTTCATGCGGGGTTTGTTGAGTTGGGTTCCCTTTTCTTTTGGGGTGTCCGGTTCTTCCCCCTGTTTGACTGGTTATCAGCCGTAAGGCTTTGTGTTAGGGAACCTTATTCATCAAAACTTGCTTAGGCCCTAACATCGTATTCGTCTTTTCGCTGTCACACTTGCATGCCCACAGATACGTCTGAGGAGGTCGCTGAGTTACTCGCGACCGAAGCTCCAGCGGGCGAGGGGGAGGAAGCGACGGACGCAGAGAGGGTTGAGCAGCCTGTTCCCCAATCTGTGGAAGTTGCGACCGAACCTATCGCCTCCTGGGCAGACGCATCTGAGGATATTCTTGCGCCCGAGCCGTCTCTTGAGGGAACATCTGCAGTAGCTGACGCAGATCGAGCCGAAGGACATCTGTTGGAGGTGAAGCAGGAAGAGTTCCAAGAGGCTACATCATTGGGTGCCGTTTTATCTGTGATTGGAGTGCCAGAAGAGGTCGCTGACGAAGTCGCGACGGACGCTGCAGACCAAGCTTTTGATCCGGTTGAGGCTGACTCGAACGAAGTTCCAGCTGAAGCCGCCTTTGCTGATTTAGATCGTGTGAAGGAAGAAGGTCAAGACCGTCCTGCAGGTGAGCCGTCGCCTCTTGCTGAGCAAGCCGATCCAGAAGTTGAGACAGCTGATCTTTTAGGTTTAGGTGACGAGGCAGGTCCAGTAGGAGAAGCATCCGTTGCATCCGAACCATCTGCATCCGTGCCTGAGCCTGTGGTCGCTGACACATCCGGTGTCGCGACTGAAGCCAACACTAATTGCCCCGGTGACATAGTCCCTCCACCAACTAGTCCTAATCTTGTTGAACCCGGCACCGACCCTATTCAGGTAGGTCATTCCCCTGCAACTTCATCTAATCCCCCAAGACAAAGGATCAGATCAAGTCGGGGTGGTGCCACAACCAGGTGGCAAGAAGCAAAGCGTGCTTGGTGGAACGACTACGAGGCATACCAAAATTGGCTTTACCGAAACTCGGGAGGGGATATTGCAGGTGGCTTTTGGTTAAGAAAAATACCATACGAACAAGCTGACGAAAGTATTCGCTGGTTGATAGCTCTTCATTCAAGACTTGTAGAAGAGTTCACAACATCACAGTGTTTAACTTTAGCCTACAACATCCTTCTTCCCTACAAAGAGTGGGCACATACCCACGGTTTGGACAGGCGTAGAGGTACTGCCCACGCACAGCAAGTGATTGATTCTGGTGATTTACCTCCAAAAAGGGTATTAACCAACGAATCTTAGGGGCAGAGCACCCACGCGCAGAAGAGTGGGATATATATATATATATTATAGATATATAGGCCCACAGCAGCAACCCCGTCCAAAGGTGGCTAGGCCTGCTGCCGCAACACCCGTTGCTGGCGCGGCGAGTGGTAGCGCAGATCCAACTCCGGTCCACCACGGGCCCAAAGAGCCTGGGCACCCACCGCCCAACTGGCAACCTTCTTTGAGAAGGCCAAACGAGCCAGCAGTGCCACCGCATCCAAGGGTTACTGTATCAGTCCATCCGGTCCCAACTGCCCCAAAGTCAGATTCTCAAGGGGTCGCTGCCTTTGGGCGCGACATAGCACCAGTCCCAGTAGCCAGCCCTGCTAGGCCACCACCTAAAGCTAGGCCCAAAGCTCCTGATTCTAGTGCCACTACCCTTGCAGATAGAGTTCGTGGTTTGCCACCTCCACCTAATACCATTGCCCCCAGTCCGCCCATTCATAAACAACCACCTTTACCACC